TGTATTTGTTTATCTATGGTATTTACATGTACTTTCAAGGCAGCTAGGACAATGTATAAAATGAGGGTACACTGTAGTAAGAAATACACATTTACCACTGACTATTAATTGAGTACAGCTAGAAGGAAAGTTGTTTTAGGGGTTTTTCTCACAAGTTGGAAGTTTACAACTAAAACTGAAGATACATGTATACATGTACATGTACATCTAAAAAGATAAAGATAAAGAGACCTTAAATGCAAACAAAAATGTGCGGCAAAGAAAAAAATCAATATGATATAATACATTAAAATGGCATTAGTTCAGTTCATCTTGAATAAACTTAGTATTTACATGTAGTTCTTTCAGTGGACCTCAAACATGGTCTTATGTTCAAGTTGAAACCTGCCTATTCAATCATTTTGGTCTCGTTGTAAAAGTGTTTGCACACTTCTGGAGTGCATTGGCCTCGCCTCTGCTCATTTTATGCATAGGGGTTAACAAATTGATTTGATTTTCAGAACAGGTCACTTGCGGGTACAATTCACAGTTGGGGTAATTTCCCACAAAATTAGATGGTATGCTCTAATCATTAAAAAATGTCTCTACTTTCAGAGTACCGGTACATGTTTAAAGGTAATACAAAGTTTTGGGAAATTTTGAAAATTGGGTGGTTAGTGATTCTTTACCGTATTGATATATTTGGATGCCCCTGTGGATGTATTATAAGCACCAGAAATTGTAGCCCCTAAAACACTTCCGCTTTCGAGAAAAATTGATTATAAAAATTTACTGGTGTTCCACGTAAATTTTGATAAATTTCAAATATTGCCTACGGCCGTACAATGGTAGCTACGACCATGAAAATCTCAGAATATGTAGTTCTGATATTTAATTTCCAAACAGGAATAGCTAATCGGTTGATTTTAGTCAAGAAACATTGTTTTATAGCTTAATTAATATCTTGACCTCAAGAGGGAGCTATACAACATAAAGAGTTTATTATTTACAATTTCCTATCTTTTGACTCGATTTCAACCGCGACAACGATCACTGAATATTGTAGGATCGCATATGCTTCCAATATATTCATTTGAACCAAATTTATGACCCCATACCAAAACTTTGTATTACCTTTAAGGTTCAGCAGTAAGCTTGTTCCAATTATTTCGCTTTGGTATGTATTCCGTTATGATATGAAATTAAGGATGAAAGGAGGAAACAGTTGTCTCTCTTGTTTTTTTTTTGACAGCATGAAGCCATGAACAGTTAAAAGATATTTAAGTATGGTGTAATACAAACAATTCCTTCTATTGGTCTCCTTTTAAATTGACATGTAGTGTGTAGTCATAAGCCTATTGTAGCCATAATTCTGTTTATCTTATTTTTCTCCTTTCATTCAAATGAACTCATTATGTGGGTTGGATTGCCCTTTAAAGCAAAAAAGCAAGAACAGTACCTTAACAAAATAATGTAACTATGGAAAGTCTAAATTGTGTGTACATCTACATGTACATCTTTCATCTCACATACATATATCATAGTCATAAGATTGGAAAAGTGGTAGAAGGAATAGGTGCAGTTGCCAGTTTGAAGAATATTTGGTTTGTTTTGACTTTCTGTAAAGTGAGAATAATATTGGTCAAAGAAGGAACATTGGACATTAAAGGTTCTTTCATGATTTTCATCACAAATTTAATATACAATATAAAAAGTTTAAAGTGTAGATTTTAAAATTTGTGATACCATTACTTTTCCTTGAGAGCCTCCAGCTGATGCTCCACATAGTTTTCCAACACATTTCCCTCCTAAATTTGTTGATGAAATTAATACTGACTTTGCCAGCAGTGAACGGTGGAAGATGGAGCTTGTTGGACATGACACCCACAGAGTTTCTTAGTCCCATGTTAAGCATTTTCCAAGTTTTCCCCAAAGTTCATCAACAAGTGGGAGAAAGTACAGCTGAACTCAGAGGGAACTTGTCAATTTTTGTTTGTAATTATACGAGATGATTTTTAAGGTAATGCTATTTCTTTGATATTCATTTCTTTTTTATGCCTCCGTTACGAAGTAGCCGGGGGCATTATGTTTTCGGGTTGTCCGTCCGTCCGTACGTACGTCCCGTTCTCATGATCTCAAGAACCGACTAATGGATTCCTACCAAACTTGCAGAGCCAATGAATTGATTAGATTTTGGGGTCATAGGTCAAAGGTCACAAGGCTCATTATGTATGTAAAAATAGCTTGTGATCGCGTTTTCTCAAGAACCGATTGATCAATTCCTGCCAAACTTAGGTCATGTATGTATCTTGCAGAGCCAATGAATTGATTAGGTTTTGGGGTCATGAGGTCATAGGTCAAAGGTCACAGGGCTCATTATGTATGCAAAAATAGCTTGGGATTGCATTATCATTAGAACCGATGGATGGATTATTGTAATCACGATATTCTGAGAACCTGTTAATGGATTACAACGGAACTTGAATTTGAAAAATTTCTTCCATTTTGGTTTGTAAAATTGCTCTATGATGAGGCAACACTTTCGACTGCGCGCAGTCGAAGTTCCATCTAATTAAATCATACCTTGCTACATAGTTGCCACCTAGCAGTACCAGCATACAGAGGAGTATGATTTGTTATTACAGTCACCTACATGTATGCCCAGTGCTCAAGCTTTTGCAGTTTTTAAACTATATCAGTTTCTTAAAGGAAACCAAAACCTTCATACTAAGTTACTTTTATTGTAAAGTTTAAAAGATTTGAATAAAATCAGTGAAAAATTGAACAAAATCGGGCAAGGAATAAGAAAGTTAGAGCATTTTGAAATGACTAGTCACTAGAGGGCGGTATTCAATTTGATGACATCATCTGTGAACAGTTAACTCTCCATGCCTTCTGTACATAAAATTTCACAATTTTTTTGTTTTCTTCGTATTTATTTGTGTTCTTGATCCGACTTCATAACATGTGAAGTAGAATATCATTTTGCATTCTCTATCTTGCTTTCAGGGGAGTACATTATCTCAATCACAAGAAAGAAGGAAAACATGAAATTTGATGTACAAAAGGCATGGAGAGTTGTCCACAGATGATGTCATCAAATTGAATACCGCCCTCTAGTGACTAGTCATTTCAAAAAGCTCTTACTTCCTTATTCCTTGCCCGATTTTGTTCAATTTTTCACTGATATTTTTCAAATATATCTTAAACTTTACAATAAAAGTAACTTAGTATGAAGGTTTTGGTTTCCTTAACTATTGCATTGTATGCCAAAATATAGTTACTTCATAGAGTAAATTTATTAAATATATATTTAATAAATATATAAGTCTAAATTGTTTCACATACATGTACCTCTGACTTTAAAAAGAGATACAGTATTAGAGTCAGAAAAGTACTCTGTAATTTGTGGATATAAAAAAACAAGCCTTTACATTCAATTTTCTCTCACAACTAATTGGGAAGATGAAATAATATGAATTTGTGAACAAGGATTATAGATCTAATTGATAATGCAATATGGACATGAATATGTGTTGGTATGACAATGCTAGGAAAAGTGGATCGTCACAGATTTTAATCTTTTCTGTGGGATAGCTGATCCAGGCATCTTTGTCATTTTTTGTACATAATGTTCAAATTTCAGACAGTTTCAATTATAATGCACAGGAAATTGACTTTGATAACTTAATGAATTATTCTGATTATACGTTGTACAGTATATCATTACTGCCCCCCCCCCCTTCTTTTTTTTGATCAGTTACACATGTAGGGCCTAACAGCACTTGCATGCAGTAAGGTGTCTCTTTCTCTATCTCTCTCTCTCTCTATCTCTCTCTCTCTCTCTTTCTCTATCTCTCTCTCTCTCTCTTTCTCTCTTTCTCTTTCTCTTTCTCTTCCTCTCTCTCTTTCTCTTCCTCTCTCTCTCTATCTTTCTCTCTCTTTCTCTCTCTCTCTTTCTCTCTCTTCCTATCTATCCCTCTCATTCTCTCTCTCTTCCTATCTATCCCTCTCATTCTCTCTCTCTCTCTCTTTCTCTCTTCTCCTCTCTTGCACTCTCTCTTCTTTCTGAGGTACAACATTATAACTCATTCATGATTATGAGCCTTAATTATCTTTCTCAATTAATGTCAGTTTTTCCTGCCACGTTTCACATTCTAACAGGTTTTTTTTAGACCTGATCATTTAATAATCAACACCTTTTTTTCATATATTGATGTCTTAGTTTTCCCTGCTTGAACTAGATTTGCTTCCTCATGGCATAATTTTGGCAGAGCATTTGAAACTGAAAGCTGCATGCAGTGATTTACTCTCAACAACTTTCCTCAAATGTCAATTGAAGTCCATCAGGCAATTTGGACTAAGTTGTAAACGTTATCTTAGTGTAGTGGATTACTAAATAGGCTATTGCTTGAATTATGTACATTGTACAAAATGGAATGAATCAGATGAAACTGAGCTACTGTGTAAATATGTGTACATGCCTTGCAATTTTTATGTCATCACTCTTAACTCAAATGTCTTGTTTGTATAATTTCCAAGATAACAATTGAGTGGGTTGACCGACTACGTTCAATAAATTTGGCAGGAATGCAGAATTGTTGATTTTTTAATGTGGTAAATGCTAAATGAAGCCATTTGTAAATAGATGAATGGTGATACATACATGTACATGTAACCACAAAATGCTGACTGTGTTTGATCTGATGTCAGAACGTGAGGATGATATGTTTGAACATGCCAAGTGTAAACTTGGAGTGTGGTAGAGTGCTTGCAGTTTTCCCCTTTCCTTACTGTGAATTTTAAAAGTAACAGCTTATATTTGTGATGAATTTAGCAGGAGTGGAGATTTGTTGATATATGAAATACATTTGTAGATATGGCGATCCTAAACTGCAACATCACACCACCTTCTTTGTACTTACATGTAGTCATTAAGAAGTCCAGTTGATGCTGAAAAAGCAAAATGAAATACATTGTATGATATTCACTTCTCTTTTTCTTTTTATATATTCATGCAGGTTCACATCGGTGTGAAAGGTTCTGTTTTGGATAGCTTTGATGGCTCTGGTATTGAAGGAGCGAAGATCTCTGTGCAGGGCATCGACCACGATGTCGTTTCTGTACATTATGGCAACTACTGGCGACTCCTACTCCCGGGCACATATCATATTACTGTCAAGGCCGACGGGTATGTATAGTTATACCCGTGTACATGTACAGTGTGGATGGTGCTTTAAACTGTTTTTTTTTTAAATGGTAATACAGTCAAACCTGTCTACAGCGACCGCCCAAGGGACACAAAAAATGTGCTTGTTGTAGACAGGTGGTCTTTGAAGACAGGTTCCTTTGAAACATGTTTCAATGAAAAAAACATTTTCAAGGGAAACAGAAAATGTGCTTGTTGTAGACAGGTGGTCACTTAAGCAGGTTTGACTGTACTAATGCTGAACATGCTGTTTTAACTACATTATGTATGATTGCTTTCAGTGAGTGAACAATTCTGGGTATTTTGTCCCTGAATCTTCAAGAGAGCATGAAATTAGTGTGAAAATGTGTTCAATATATGTCCTTAGTTACAGAGTGTATTTACTTATTGATAGTTGCCTACATGTACTCTATCTTTGCTCCTAGATAGTTACAATGATACGGTATACGACGGTAGTATAAAAACATACATTTTTAGCAAGCACTGTGTATTTATGTAGAGTATGTTGGTCAAAATGTGCATACTGTCACTTAGTACTTGTAGGGATGGCCTTAAACGCTATTTTAGGCTAAAGTCCACTCCCAAAATAATTTGCTTTTAATAAATGCAGAAAAACAAGAGAAACTGAGCAAAAACAATTTGAGTAAAATCGGTTAACTAATAAGGAAGTTATGATATTTTTGTTAAAGTATGAAAAACTATGGAGGTTAGAAAATCGCTACACAAATTGCCAACTTCGTTATCAGTTTCATGATGTCATTGCCTCGTTATTTGTCAATTGCTTTATCCCATTAAGTTCCCTTTTTATCCCCAAAAATTTGATTTCTCCATGCCTTTGCCCATTTGTAATGAAGTCACAGACTCATGAGTGAGTTACCAATTTGTCTTGTGATTTTCAAAGTTTTTCATGTCATTAAAAATTCATAGCTTTATTATTAATTATACGATTTTGCTCAAACTTTTTTTGATTGGTTTGTCTGATTTTTCTACTTCTATTGAAAGTAGGTTATTTTTGGAGCAATCTTGCCCTTTTATGTTATATGCACATATTCAGTAAAGTATAGCTTTGTATTACATTTTTACAAAAACTGACAATTTTTCTCTTGTAGAGATTAACTGCAAGACAGAGTTGAATTGAATGCAGGGTGCAGTGTATGAATGTTGTAGGTGAATTCATGCATCAACATATTTTGTTTGACAACATAATCACTTATACAGCTGTACATGATGCACCTACCGGTACACATTGATAACTATAATAATGTCAACATCAATTAGGTAGATAGTACCATGGACCTACATGATAGTACTGTACAGTAAGATAATGTCACCCAGGCACGCAAAACCACTCAACAAATCACTTTTTTTGCACCGACACCCACAAGTACTTAACAAATTACGTATAGTTTAGTTCAGTAAACTTGCAAATTTGCTACAGGAGTGCAGTTTGGTTTGATCGACGGTTTGTTTAACCTGACTGCTAGGAAAGCATGTGTACTGTATGATGTACATGTATCATGGGGCTGACGGCTTTAAGTCCTCTCTGAGGGACTTTGGAATAAGGATTAATGCCTTACCAAAGGGCACTAGCGCATCAACTTGGTTTCAAACCCATTAAATAATTTGAATAATAATTATGTGCCTCAGTTGTAGCTTAGTTATTACCTTTATGTTCCAAGCAAGTGGTATTTTAGATATGAATTAAGTTTGTGGTAATTATCTTGTTATTTTACCTTGTTTCTGCTTATATTACAATTTTTTAATATTAGCTACAATGTATTTAATCAGTTGAGAGCCAGACAGGTGTGAAGTCTAGCTGTGTGAAAATAAAGAGGTAAATGCCTTTCTAGCTCTCAACAGGCAATTTTCTTTATCACGGTGTGATTGTTTTACAAAAATATCTCAGTAGCAAATTGCTTACCTGTATTATTTTTTCAAAGTGGTTGTTAACAAGTTTTGAGGAATACTTGTACTGTATGTGACCAGACATTTTTGTGCTGATGTCATTGATACCATGAAGACGGCAGAAGACTCTCTTATTTCCTTGTTCCATCATTCTTTTGTTGCCAGGTATTTCAGTCTGTCCCGCGATGTGGTGGTAACAGAGAATGAAGTCACTAGGGTCAACTTCAGACTCAGATCCAGGACGAGTAAGAATTTGCCAGTTACTTTAGGCCTGACTTCATCAGCTCGAGTATGCCAAATAACCTGCTATTTTCAGACTCAGGATATTATCTTGAAACTCGAAATTGCTTCTCCACTCTCCACACCGATATACGCTCATTACAAACTAGTTTGTAAGAGCACAAATTAGCCCACTATTTCCCAAATAGCGGGATATGCTAATTGCAACTGCGGGCTGATAAAGATGCAAATTAACTGGCTAATTTGGGTTCGGGATAGTTAAAATAGCGCGTTATTTGGCAAACTCGAGCTGATGTTGCCAGGCCTTTTGAGATTCTTAAAATGAAGGAAAGATAAAGAAGTTGATATTGTTAGAGTATTCATAATAATTCTTCTGCTGTTTTTTTCCCAGTTTAGAATCAAGGACAGTTGCATCGATCAGTCCGTATACTAAAAAGATTTTGAAGGATGCAAGGTTTTCACTCGAGTCGTCTATTACCAACGCATAACCATCTAATAATCGACATACAATCATACATGTAGTTTTGTCTATCTGATTTTCAACACCTGCTATAGTATTCAGGTGCACCAAAAACGCAGCATATGCATTGCATTTCAGGCTCTAATGCCCCTTTTCCATGTATTATGATATCATGCTTTTGATTTTTACATGTTTTATTTGATTATGTTACCTGTAGAAGAAGAAAAAATACCTCCAAAATGTTAAATGTTTCCTAATCTTTCTTTTCCCATTCCGCCCAGCTTTTATTGAGCCTGTCCCAATTGAGCACCACACCCAGGAGTCCATGATAGAGGCTCTCACGAACATCGCTGATCGCTACCCTAACATCACACATCTCTACTCAATTGGCAACTCCGTCCAGGATAGGCAGATCATGGCCATCGAGATATCAGATCGACCGGGTGTCCATGAACCAGGTTAGTGATTAGCCTTCAAAATTGTACTGGTTTGAAGGCTTATTTTACCTGTATGCTTAAAATTAGTAGCTGGGCCGGGGACTGAAAATGTGATATATACAGTGCGTCCCAGAAAAAACGAAACCGAAAATTATTCGTTTCGTTGACGATCAACCAAGCATCAAGTCTTTCGTTTTCTTTGTGCATGGCTGATCATCAACGAAACGGAGTTCAGTCTTTTGTCAACTCTGTTTGTTGCTACGGCAGGCAGCCAGTGAGAATGAACTCTTTTAATCAAATTATGAAAATGCAAGCACTACTTTAAAACAGACAGAACTTTGTTATTCCTGGCTCATTTTTCCTGATTGAGGTGTCGTATGAAAGGGCAGAAATTGAACTTTCTAGAAATGTGATTTTCTCCTTGAAATTCAGATACTGCCCGCCACACGACTTTTTAGTTTCCTCTCTTCAAATTGTTTCTAATCACTGATGCGTGAAATATGTATCATAAGAGTTACGTCAAATGAAAGAAGAGGATCTAAGCTTTACAAATATGTGTCATTTATTAATTATAATTTTGTTTAAGTCAGGATAAAACATTGATAATTCATTTTTTGTGGGACGCACTGTATAACTTGATACCAGTAATAGTGAAGAATTAAACTCTCAAGGATTTTTCTTTCAACCGTTTTCATTATTATTCATAAATGTCTGTATATACATGTATATATATTTTACATATATTCTCATAACTGTACACCGGTAGGGTCCGCCTGTGAGGGATTGTCAATGGCATAGTTATTTTATGCACCATCCCTCTTTTTATAGACTTTCATTTAATTTTCTTAATTGTGCAACTACTCCTTGAAAAGTTTGAAGTGCTGGTTGCAGTGAAACAGCTTTCCTGCTTCAAATGCATGAGTACTCTTGCCTAATTACAAAAATCATAATTGTAATGGCTCTTACCCCTAAGTTTATATAGTATCAACAAAGCATAGTATGCAGTGATTTATCTTCAATTTGAACAAGACAAGTTAGAAGGACATTTACAGCTTGTACTTATAATGTATATAGCGATTATCATGATGTGTCATTTCATAGTCCCTTCAAGCTTTTCTTACATTTTTATTGTAGACTCATCAGTCTTCAAAGCGTTTTCTTAGCGACATTTTTATTGTTTTAACGCAACTCTTGAAATAAAGCTTTGCTTGATACAAATTCCATCACACATGTACAATTTACTCAGTAGTATCTTACTTGCTGTGTAGCAAATCAAGAAAGTAAAACATCATTTTGAAAAGCGCCGAAAATAGATTTTTCTCCTGGAGATGTACATTTTGTCTTATTACTTGATTTCTTGCACTTTGAATGCATGATCTATTAGATCCTCTACACATGCATAATATGGCTGACTTTCCTCATTTTTATTATGTCATTATTGAAATTGAAGCAGTGTTATCTATAACATTGTGCACTAAATATTATCAATAAGTGATGAAATTGTTTATAATATTTGAATGAAAGCATGTAAAACTTTTCAAATTGGATAACATACAGTGTAATCAATGTCGTATTACTCATTGATGATGCTTTTTTTAAAACTTATTTTGTTTGCAAAATGGTTTGTTGTTTTATTTGTTTATGAAAATAGCATTTATTTACCAACTTAGCTACCGATTGCTGAATTGATTGCTTGATTGATAGAGTGATTGATTGATTGAATATTTGAATGAATGAGTGATTGACTGGTCGATTTTGAGTAAAGGAATAATTGAGTGAGTGATGTGCATGCCATAACAAAAAAAAAAACAATTCTGTCACTACATGTATGTAATTTGTTACCCATTTAAATGTTGCATGCCTAAATTATATGCTGAATGTTCATCTCAAAGTGCATGTTTATGAATGTCATTGCATGTTACTCTATGTGTTTCCCATGTTGAAGTCTAAAATAATATCTTTTAAAGTACAGTGTAGGATCGTTTGTTGTCATTCAATCATCTCTATTGTTTAATGTAATGTTTTTAATACATATTGCATTTTGGGTATTTCTGTGCAATGTGCCTAGTACGACGTTTGTCTCTTATCTATTTGTTTCATGAAAAAAATGAAAAATCTCTTGAAATGACCACTGACTACTAATCGTTAATGAGGAAGAACCATCAATAGTAAATTATTATTATTTTTTGATGACATGAATGGGGGAAAAAGACATATTTGGTACAGGAGACCTTGCATGGAATTGCCCTTTATGTCATCCAAACGGCATGTCTATTCATGAACATTATAATGGTGTATATATATTTATTTGACTATCTTTCCTGCATCAATCCCCTCCCTGAGATGTTACCTAGGACATCCCACCATGTCCTAAGGCATGGGTGTCGATCCGTAACTGATACCTATTCATCAGGGGGGGATGATCTATTCATTCATCCCCCCCTGATGAATAGGTATTATGTAAGTATCGACACCCATGTCCTAAGGTTCTACCCTTTTCCCTCTTGAAACCCAAACAGGTGAGCCGGGGATGAAGTATGTCGCGGGTATCCATGGCAACGAGGTAGTGGGCGGAGAGATGCTGATGCTGTTCATCCAGTTCCTGTGCGAGAACTACGAGACGTCGGACCAGGTCAAGTGGCTCGTAGACAACACCAGGATTCATCTGGTCCCTAGCATGAACCCTGATGGCAAGGCCATAGCCTTTGAAGGTGAGGATATTGATGATGTTGATGATGATGAAGATGATGATGATGATGATAATTTATGCTGTTGAACACCATCTGGTCCCCAGCATAAACCCTGATGGCAAAGCCATAGCCTTTGAAGGTGAGGATATTAAAGATGATGCTGGTGATGATGATGGTGGTGGTGGTGGTGGTGGTGATGATGATTGTGGTGGTGGTGGTGGTGGTGGTGGTGGTGGTGGTGGTGGTGTTGGTGGAGATGATGATGATGATGATGGTGACGACGACGATGATGATGATGTCATCAATGATGATGATAAATGCTGTTGATGATGATGATGATGATGATGACGATGTATGCTGTTGATGATGATGATGATGATGACGATGTATGCCGTTGATGATGATGATGATGAATGATGAATAATGATGATGATGATGATGATGATGATAATGTCATCAATGATGATGTATGCTGTTGATAATGCTAATGAAAATGATTATGATGATGGTGGTGGTGGTGGCTTGTAGACAACACCATCTGGTCCTCAGCATAAACCCTGATGGCAAAGCCTTAGCCTATGAAGGTGAGGAAATTGATGATGGTGATGAAAGATGATGATGATGATGATGATGATGATAATGATGATGATGATGACTTTGATGGTGATGGTGGCTCACAGACAACATAAGGATCCATCTTGTTAACCAATGGCAGAGCTGTAGCCTTTGAAGATGAGAATGCATGTCCAGAGTGTTCACTAGAGATGCTATTTTCAGGTGTTCAGCATATTTTGGTGACAAGATCCGCAATATCCAAAGTCAGGGATGTTCTGGAATAATCAAAATTTTCAATTTTATATTTAAGGGTGCTTTGAGAAATCATATATCTTTGAGCTTCCTGAAGCTCTCACAAAAATTCATGAAAGTTTCTTTTTTACCGGTACATGGAATTTTCCATTTTGTAGTAGTGGATTTATAAAGCAGCATGCTAAAAAATATGAAATACAACAACTTTCAGATTTTTCCAAGAAAGTTAATATTCAATTCACTTTCATGATGATATTGTGTCATGAACAGGACACCAATTGTTTCAAACACCATTTCCAATGTTTTCAATTTATCACAGGTGACATAGAAAGCACCGTAGGTCGCAACAACTATCGCGGCGTTGACCTCAACCGGAACTTCCCTGACCGCTTCGGTCGGAGTGAGGGCACCATACAGCCCGAGACCAAGGCCATCATGGACTGGACAAAGAATCATCCGTTTGTGATTTCTGCAGGTCTCCACGGTGGCTCTTTGGTGGCCAACTACCCCTATGACAGTAACAGGCAGCAGGTGGAAGGCTACTCTGCGTCTCCGGATGATGCCATGTTCAAGCAGCTGGCCTTGGCCTTTGCAAATGTAAGATAATGTTTGGTCCCTTTCAGATTAGAATGCATGTCATTTCATTGATGTAAATGGGTACCTAGCAGGAATTAATTCCTTGAAATGCTAGAGCGCCATAATGGCAGCCATGCTAAAGCCAGGGTAATAATCGGGAGTGCCAGGAGTGTCAAATCTGAAAGACATGAGCACTATAATAATAATAATTACAGTGCTTATATAGCGCCTAACACTTACTTTGTCAGAAGTCTCTAAGCGCTCTACAATAATGCAGCATAATTACCCTGGCTTTAGCAGTGCAGCTGTTACGCGCGCTGCGTTTCAAGGAATAAATTCCTACCAGGTACCCATTTACTTCACCTGGGTGGAGTGTAGCAAATGTAGATCAATGTCTTGCCAAAGGACATTAGTGCAGCGGCGGGACTCGAACCGCGGACCTTATGATTGGCAGTCCGGCGACGTATCCACTCGACCACAACACCTCTACTAACAAGAACCCACTATTATTATTATCATTGTTGTTTAATATTTCTCTCAGTGGGAGGTTCCTCCGTATTAAAATGGAGATGGCTTTGGCCCTTCCCTTGCTGACAACATATTTTGTCTGATATGTTGGTCCCTTTGTGAACCCCTGGCAAGAAAGTGTTGAAGATACATGTACATGCTCCTTAACAAAGGCATATTATTTTGATACTCGTTTCCTCGGGATATGGCTATATTCATGCAGATGGCTGTGGGAAATGCTAAACTTATTTTTCTGTAGGTTTTAATTAGGTTATTGCATTCATTGTCCACTTCTGTTATCTATAGATAATGGTTGAGAGCTGGTTATGCGAGGAATCCCTAGAAAAATATTCTCAAATAATCAATCAACCTGGCTCAATGCTCTTCAGATGATATTAAATATCCCTTTACTTTAATCATTAAAAATATATGCTCTGCTGTATAAAGTTTTGTAGATGTCATTTATTGTTTTATGCTTTCATGAAGTGTGAGATGTTAGCAAATATTGTCTTATCAGCATACAAGTTTGATTCGATTGCATTCAATTAATTATTTTTTGGTGATGATTTGATTGCAGTCTCATGGGGTGATGTATAAAGGCTTTCCTTGCCCTGTCAAGTATCCTGATGAGAAGTTTGAGGGCGGCATCACCAACGGAGCCCTCTGGTACCTCGTTGACGGTAAGACCTCCTGCGTGTCATCCTCAAGGGCAGAATTACAGGGACTTCACTGGCCAATGCCCCTCCCCATCCCTCCTCTTTTTAAAAACCAAATGTGGTTTACCATATTTTAAAGTGCACAAATGAAAAATCCCCCCCCCCCCCCCCCTCCCATAGGTTCTTGTACCCCCTCTTTAACATTTTAGACCCAAAACTCACCTAGAAAAAATCAAACTTTTTTTTTTTTTTTTTTTTTGATTGGGGGGAGGGGGGGACTTGCCAAAGATTTTTGTGTGAATTGGGGCATGAATATGTGATAAACTGGTACTGTTCATTAGATTGTCAGAAAGCTTTAAAAAAATTAAATTTGAGTCACGTAACTTAGTAGATGGATGTATTTTGATTCCTATTTCTAACATTTTTGTATAAACATGCACCTATGGTTCATTGTTGCTTCTCCTTGATGGAATTTTCAGGTGGAATGCAAGATTGGAACTATGTGAACACCAATGCCATGGAGGTAACTGTCGAGATGAGCTGTGTGAAGTTCCCACTCACTGCTGAACTACCTCAATACTGGAATGATAATAAAATGTCTCTTATCAGCTTTATACATGAAGTAAGTATACGTGCGATACACCTTTCTTTCATTTTCAAACAAACGGAGTAATAGACATTTTTTTCTTTTATTTACATGTTTGTATATTTTTCTACATTGATTATCTGATTTCCTACCGTCAGACTGTGTACCATTTAGTTGTTTTTTTGCATACTCAGAATTCCCAGAACAGGGGCTATTTGACCATTTTGCAAAAATTCAGTATTTCAGTCAGCCTTCCCCACACTATAGTTCAGTACATGGGATAAACATTAAGTAGTTGTTTTTTCTTTATTTTTGTGTTTTTTTCTTCATTTTTGTGAGTTAAAACTCATCCATGAAAATATATTCACATCAAAGTGTATTTGTATACAGGCCATATCGGACTCCATATTACTTATACTTCATGGATAGGGAACTATGGATTGCCTCACCCGATGCCCGATCCCATGTTTATTCTTAGTGCTTAAACACTTTGTTTGCTTTCATCACTGTCGTTCGTTGGCCATGCGTGCAATGTTGCACAAAACAATAGGCACCAAATGAAGGAAGCATTGCTTGGTGCAACACAATGGCTGTGTGAAATTACCCATGTCCAACCTTGATTAATTCCATGACAACCCTTTAAACACTGGTTTTAACATTTGTTTTCTTTGTACCGGTAATTGTTTTTTGACAAGGCGTTGTGTGGGATGTGAATGAGGTTGTGTACCGTATGAACCAGGCTTGGTTCATGTGGTGCACAACTTTTTTGAATTACTTTACACAGCTTTACACAACAAATTGACAGTGTCTGCACTTGAAGAGCAAAATAATTATTTACTAATGTAAAGCGCTTTGAGCATGTTTATGTAAATGCGCTATATAAATATCAATATGTATGTGTATGTATGTACGTATGTATAGATCAATCTTGCACTGGAAACTGTTAAATAATCCTGAAGCCATTGGTATATTTCTATTCCATGATGCATACAATGTCGCACATGGAGGTTTTTGGTCATCGTATATAAAGAGTTAAATCAACAGACACCTCTGTACGATCCGAAAAACCTCTGACAATGTTTGTACAGATGTTATGCTATTGATCGAGTCCATAAAACATAGGCACATGAAAGAATACCAAGGTTTGTCGTTTACTAGGCAGGAAATGGCCTCAGCCATGTTCAAGCCATTCCTGTACTATCTTTTGAAAACAATGTTCATGCACCATGGGTACATAATGATATGATTAGCAGATTTGGGTCACATTCCGCCATGTGGTGTTTGCTTAGTAGATAATGTAAACACAGCTGGTTAGGATAATGTAAACAGAGCTGTTCAGGTTGAATCAGTCAACTCATCATTTATTACATTGATGTACTATTGATTGTCTCTTTTTAATTATTTGCTCTTTTCCAGGCTCATAGAGGAATACAAGGGTTTGTATTAGACAAGGCAGGGAAGGGTTTAAGCCACGCACACATCATTGTAGAAGGCATAGATCACAATGTTAGCACAGCCAAATTTGGTGACTTTTGGCGACCTTTGACCCCTGGCTTCTACAATGTTACAGCACATGCTGAAGGGTGAGTGAATATACCTTTCCTTGTTATTTTTAATGTTTTATCCTTTATTAGTGACTGTCATTTCTTTAGGGTAGACACTAAGATTATCTGTTAAAGCCATCTTCCTAAATGACCTTTCTTCCTAATCGTGTGCATGACTTGGAGTTCAAGCTTGATATGTTTGTAGTTTTTAAAGTTGAATGACGTGGAAGTTTCAGAATTATTTTATGCCTTTAATGCCATTAATTTAACACAAAATTAAAAATTAGAATGAGTATCGGGGAAAGTTTTTTATTTTTTATTGTGTCATAGAATATAAAAAAATAATAATGTGATAACTGAATAGTAAAAATGGAACTACATGTATGTTTAGCCATAAACAATTAGGTATGCATGTATGTATCTTTTTTAAATATTATCTTGTACCACCATTAGGAATTTGGGGTATTTTCTTCCTACATTTATTTCTGCGATAAACAAAAAACAAATCCACACATTTTCTATTTTACCTGTGTGTTATGCAGATATGCACTAGAAACCCAAGAGGTGATTGTCTACCCTGGTCTAGCGTCCCAGGTCAACTTCACCTTGGCAACGGAAGGCTCTGAGGGGTCAAATGAAGGTCAACTGGACATACCGCTGGACGAGTGGGCAGTCCAGTATGACTTCTCCATCGCTCAGAACTTCAGCGGTTACCAGACCAACGATAACCTGGCTAGAGTGCTGCTGGAGTACCAGGGGTCGTATCCAGACATCATTGACCTTTCACCTTTGGGTCAAACAAGGTCAGGGACCAGCATGTGGATGTTGGAGATGGGAACGAACAGGAAGGTGGATAGTGTGATTGACATCCCGAGAGTGGCCCTGATTGGTGGATTGAGAGGGGAGGAGCCTGTGGGCAGAGAGTTGCTATGGCGATTCATCCATCATTTAGGAGAAGGTATTACATGTTTTTTGAATACCTGCATGCAATTACAAAATGGCAAAACTCAATATTCAAGAAGAATATTTAATAGAGATCATGATAATATCAACAGTTAAGAATAATTCTCCAGCCACCAGGTTCAGTTTGTGATCTTTCAGCTTTTGCCTCTGTGTGTTTGGCATAACACATAAAGGAGTGGTACTAGTCTATGAAAATCTCTCCATTGATGGATAATGTATAGAATGCAGGATTATCTATCATATATTTTACGTGTGTGAACTGGCGGTGTCAAACAGTAGCCATATTCATAGTATAACCATACATGTACCTCTTAGTGTTACATCTTCAGTTTTATGCAGAGTACATGTATTTGACTTTCCGAAACACCATCCTGATTAGATCTCATATAAACATCATTGCATTGGCTGTCATAACATTTTTCATCTACATCGTCGATAACAGGTTACCATGCCAACGATGAGAGGGTAGTGAGGCTTCTGAACACCACCCATCTGACCATTATCCCAGCTGTAGACTATGATGGCTTTGGCTTGGCACACGAGGGAGACTGCACAGGCAGCAGATATGAAGGAGACCTTACTGCAAATAGCTTTGGACCAGATGGGGAACTGGTCAGTTGAATGTTTTCCTCTTCCTCCTCTCGCTCACCCATCTTTCATTGTTTACCTTCTTCTCCCACTTATATAGTTAATTGTACTGTATACTTGTTTTGATTTGATTTGATTTGATTTATTGGTATCTGCATCATTTTTTTTTCATCACACTTTTCATGAACATAATATGGTTTGATACAATATTTCATATGTATAAATAAATATATTGATTGCATAATTAACATACATTGGAAAAAATTGTATTAAAGCATTCAAAACTGAGAAATATCAGCCCAAAGAGGGAGCAAAAAAAAGATTTCCGACTGACCAACCAATGTTTTGGCACCTAAAGGACAATACAACATCTTTCTTTTTTTACGTCCTTAGATGCAGGGGGGCTACAGCATAAGCAAAGTAGCTTGACATGCTCACAGCCCTCAAATTAAATACAACATATTTTTACAAATCAGAAGAGTTCTAAACATCTCCTTTACAGAGTTGTTTACTTGTTTCATTTTTCCGCTTGCTTTCTCATTTAGCATTTTTATAAAGGATAACAAATTATTATTTTAACATGAGTTTTAACACCCTCATCATATTTTTACTTTACAGTATACTTTTATTTTATGCATTAATGAAAATGTTATATTGTGAACCCTATGACCTTGGACAAGAAGCTGCATTACCATTACCATAGATATAGCCAGCCTTACTTTATTCTAAATATATTCTTTTGTCATGTGTAAATTTGCATTGTTTGTTTGTTATATATTTGTAAAAATACAAAAGAAAAATAAAATAAAATGGAAATAAATAAATCAAATCAAATCAAATACTCAGAGAGATTTAACAAGAGATTGTTTATCTAATGATTTTTTTTCTCTTCTCTACCTTTCAGTTATCTCAGAGACCAGAACTAGTTGCTCTCCAAAGCCTCTTCACAGACCACAATTTCACTCTGGTTCTCTCCATTGAATCAAGCGGTATGTGGGTCAGGTAAGACTATCATTCATCATTCATCACTACATGTACACTTCGATCATCATCACAACACCTCCTTGCAGTACACCCTGTTAATATGCACACCTATAGAGACTGATCCTTTGTGGTTTTGGCTTCAGCTCTGTAAGATTCTCTGCCCTTGACAATCAGGAATACATGTATCTTCCCTTTATGATTTTAAGAGAGCCCACCTTTTCTTACAGTTGTTTATTACAATTCTTGTTTGGATGTGTCGGTGTGCATATAGTGGTGTTACTTGTCCTCTTAGATATGTCGATGTAGATTGTAAAGCATACTATTTGAATGTAAAGCGCATAGAGAATTAAGTGTTAATTATTATGTGCTGAATAAATTGAAAGTTACTATCATTATCATCATCATTGAACGTCTCTTGTAAATTGTAAAAGCAACAGTAAATTAATGAAAGGACTCAGGGATGCAAATTTTGAGCCCTTTGCCAGATTTTTCGCTACCTGACATTTCCCCATTTCAGGCTTTTTTAGACAGACTTCAATATGCAGAGATGCCAACCAGTACGATTTAAATTGTACTGGTTGGCATCTCTGCATATTGAAGTCTGTCTAAAAAAGCCTGAGATGGGGAAATACAATAATATGATATCACCTCTTAAAATACAATTTTTCATCTTTGAAAATTTTTTTTTTTTAAATAAATAAATAAATAAAAACAGCGGAATCGCATAGAAACATGTACAAGTAAACCCAAACAAAAACTTTGCTTTCCAATTTTCTCATTAAATTTGAATGAAAGAGAAAACATTTTACTTGACCGTACTTATCAGTAAAACATTTTTCTGAAATTTTACTGGCCGGGCTGATGGGCTGGTGGTAGTGTCAAGTTTTCGAGAAAATCTGATTTTTCTCTCGAGAATCTGATTTTTTAGGATACTCAGTCCGTTTTTTAGTTTGAAGAGTTTTCCCCGGAATTCTTTTTTTTTCTCAGTTTATTTTCAGGCTCATGGATGAAACAAACCGGTATCCCTGATTACTGTCATGCATTACTGTCAAATATTGTGAAAGGCCCCAGAAGAACTGTATTTATATAGTTGCCCTGATAATCATTATAATTTGCAAAGTGTTTTTTTTTTCTTTTTTGGGAAAAAAAAATAATAAGAAAAATAAGTTTTCAAGTTTGTTATCTCATTTAGGCATTTGATCAATATGAAAGTGTATAGTCAAAATATAACATGAGTTTACCCGTACTGAATGGTTAATGGGGAATGGTTAATTTGGAGTTGGCTACAGATATAGTTTTATTTAGCTTGGGATTGAGAAAACTCGTTCCCTGAGAGATGACCCGTGGGTAGATTGTGATGAGAGATAATTTCCTCTCTTTCAAATCCCAATCGCTGCTTAATTGTTCAGATATGACTATCATTCATCATGATTGAACATCTTTTGTAAATTGTAGATGACGATGATGAGAGATAATTTCCTCTATTTCAAATCCCAAATCACTGCTCTTTTGTACAAAATATTTGATTTAATGATAAATCTGTGACAGCATTTCCCTACATTCTGATTCCTTGCAGATATCCATATGACAACCCTACCGGCGATCATGGAACCACCACAGAGGACAACAACCTGTTCTTTGAGATAGCTAATGCATATGCATCGGCCAATTCCATTCTCAGCGGAGGGGTGAAGTGCAATAGCCATAGCTACGGCGCAGGGGTGGTAAATGGAGCAGAATGGAAGAACATTAGGAATACACTCCAAGATTATCTCTATACACAGAAAAGTGAATTCATGGTGAGAATAATTGCTGTTGTACAAATATTTCATGTTTGTGATTGTTTCAATGAAAATGCACTTTAGGTAGGTTAACTCACAATGGGAAAATGACAAGGCTCTGCCCAGTCTATATTACAGTCAAAATTACTGAGTGCTGTGTATTTCACTGAAACATAAGCTTCAAAACATGTATCAATTGTTTAATGAAAGTGATTCTATATTAATAATATGACATCAAGATATGGGCTACAAATGCAGTCATGGAGTTTGCCATTTGCATTACTGAATGATATCAATTAGTGCAGCCAAAGAATACAATTTTCTTCTCAATGTGTGTATTTGTAACCAATGCGCATGTCATTGTATCTTCGCTTTGTATGGTTGTATGATTGAGAGACACAAAGATCGTCTAGGCCATATGTCATTGTAGAGGTTCGGATCATCAGATTTGTATTAGTTTTACGTCGGGTTTGTAATTAAAAGGTGCTAACTGTACCATATATACCCACATGTTATGTGTCCAGACAAGTTGGTCATCGGACAGCTTATTGTTAAAAGAATAGAACAATTTTCTAGCAAGTTTTCATACATCTTTCGACAGATATGTTGTCCATAGAATCAGGATATAGTGTATTAACTGGATGGATATTTTTCATGAAATCCAAAGGCAAACGTGAATGCATAATTTTGATTAATAAATAATTAATAATAGTAGTCCTCAGTTTTTATATAGCGCAAATTACAATTAAGTCTCTAAGCGCTATGGAAATAGAAAAAAAATCAAGAAGTATGGACCCCACATCCCCCAATCCTACCTTCAGTTGATAGGTTTTCAATACAAGTTGCAATCATATCCCCATTATAAACATTCTCTACATCCTTTCAGGTAACTGCTCAGATATCATGTTGTAAGTACCCAGGCCATGGAGAGCTTGAGAACCTGTGGAGAACCAACCTAGAATCACTCACGGCATTCACTGAGAAATCACACCAAGGTAATCATTTACAATGTGCCTTTAGTGAATTTGTTTTAGCGAATAGCATTTATGTTTTCTTTGAAAACTTATTGTAAGTTTGATTTTGTCTGCTTAGAGCCAGAAGGGTGTTATCTCATACTTTTACATGGAGTTAATGCCCTTCTGGCTCTCAGCATACAACTGTACTGTATTTGAAATGTCATTCATAACCAGAACTCAAAGATTACTTTGAATATTCATGTTCCAGTTGCTAAAAAAACCTTTTGATGAGCCAAGAAATGAATCTCATTGGTTTGAATCATAGCTTGCATATTTATTCATCTGCACAAAGCTGGCTATGTACACATAATGTTTGAATAGACATCTGATTAGCATTCATTCTGTGCAATTTCAATTTGTTATGACAACATAATATTCCCGTAACATACATGATAACAACGTTTTTGGAATACAGCCCCAGAATTTACCCATAATTTTACATCAAGTACAGTACTAAAGAAATGTTCTGGAAATCATGATTGTAGTCATAATCTTCCTGAAGTTATTTTCCAAAATTTCAATTTTTGTTGTACAGTCAAACCTGCTTTAGTAACGACCTGTCTACAACAAGCACATTTTTTTATTCCCTTGGGCGGTCGCTGTAGACAGGTTTGACTGTACTTTTATGTCTACATTTTAAATTACTTTCCTGATATTTCGCATCCACACCCAGGTATAATTGGTAAAATCCAGACTGCGGATGGTAGCCCCCTGACCTCCGCTGTCATTCACCATGGAGACCATACTCACGTCCTGGCCCCCGATGAGGACGGGATGTTCCGACGTCTGCTGCCTGTGGGTGTCCATGGTGTAACAGCATCGGCTCCAGGTTACATGCCTCTCACTAAAGATGTCCATGTCACTATGAATGAGGTAATGTGCAGTGAAGTGGTGGTTATCTTACCTGACTTCTAAGAAAGCATAAATGCTTATTAGTGAGTAACCAGAGGACCGACGGCTTTAGGTCCTCTTTGAAAGACCTGGTAATGAAGATTAATGCCTTACCAAAAGGGCACTAGCACATCACCTTGGTTTCGAACCCGGGTCACCGGATTATGAGACCACTGCTCTGATTGAGCTATCGCGCCTTTTTTTGCTGAATAATTTCTTGAGGATGGCTTATTTAGAAAAGAGTTCTATGAAACATCCAAATTAAATACCCATGTGACTGTTAAAGCCCCACTGCACTACTTATAGCTACATGTACTTGCGCCCTCTATACAGCCAACAATGCCTAAGCGGTACCCGTTGATCCCCCACGATGCCCTTTTTCTCATATTCATTGAGAGCTAAGTTGATGAGATAACCACCTGCCAGTGACCTCGCAGGGAGGTCTGATCCTTCCATACCAAACTAGTGCAGGTTTAGATGGGGAGTCGTCCCCTAAATGTACAAGTAAAAACAACAAGAATTCAGATGAAATGGGCTTATAGAGTTGTGTTGATTCCACTGGTTATGAGATTGTATAGTTAAAGAAAAGCTGTCTAGGAGATATTCTGAATGGTTGGTCATGAAGTAAATAGATGTTAGTGTGTATTTATAACGTTGGGCATCTTATGAATTATAGGAAATTGCCTAAATCTTGCTGAAATAACTAACAGTGGAAAACGTTCGACATTGGAGATTTTGGGCGAGATAAGTTTCATCACTATCTGTAAAACTTTTATGAAAGTTTCATCTTAACATAATTGAATCCTATCATTTATTTTTGTTTCCAATTCAGTAAGTTTGTTGCAACAACAATTATTGTTGAGAATTCACTATAATTTCTATCTTACACTATGATAGGGCATGTATATTGCAAAATCGAAGAATAGAAATACATTTCCAATTGATGTGCATCAATTATAAAAACAATTTTTTGTTTTTTTTGTTCAGGTTAGCGAGGTCGTGTTTTTAATGGAGAAAGAACCAGGGATGAGATACCATCATTTTGATGAGATGAAGGAGATGCTCAATAACCTGACTGCACTATATCCACGTCTCACACACTTACAGAGGTTGGTGATTTAAATTTGTTAAATATTTACAGTGAAACCTGTCTACAAAGATCACCCAAGGGAGACAAGAAAAGTGGTCTTTTAGGCAGGTTTCACTGTACTACTGTGTTTGCAGTAATTTCTTGTTTGATACTTTTATTCAAATCATGTAGAGAGACATAGACCTGTTTGCAGTTCATCACTTTTGATAAATTCTGTTTTCATAAGTTTAAATTTAGAAATATATTTAGTCTGAAGGGATTGTGTCTTTGCACATTGTGGAGGAGTGGGATATGATGAAATTAAGAAGTTGACTCAAGATCAAATACACTATCACTCAGAGAAACACTGTTGGAGAAGATGTTAGGTCACTCATCCTTAGACCTGTGGGAAAAAAATCACTGTTGATGATGGTGATGAAGATTACAATGACGATGATGATGATGATGATGATGATGATGATGATGATGATTAAAAGATAATTGCAATTGTAAAACATGAAGAATTTTTTTTTTTTTTTTATAGCTGTAAAACATCTGCAATTATAAACATTTGCTGCTGTACCGATAATTGTGAGTATACATGTACGTTATCACAAATTAACATACACATCCCTTTCTCTCTCTCTCTCTTTTCTCTCTCTCTCTCTCTCTTCTCTCTCTCTCTCTCTCTCTTCTCTCTCTCTCTCTCTCTCTCTCTCTCTCTCTCTCCTCTCTCTCTCTCTCTCTCTCTCTCTCTGTCTCCTATTTGTAGTATTGGTGAGAGTGTTGAAGGGAGACCTCTACTGGTCCTGGAGCTTGGCAACAAACCCGGCAACCATCAGCCAGGGAGGCCGGAGGTCAAATTCATCGGCAGTATCCACGGCAACGAGCCGGTGGGGAGAGAGCTTGTACTGTCCCTCGCTAACTATCTGCTGATGAACTATGGCAAGGATGATGGAGTTACAAAGGTAACAAATGAAGCATTATAACAATACTGAAACTACTCAACTACATGGCTGTACTATTCCCCTGCTAGCATGGCATTCAATTGAACTAATTCCTTTAGTCTTGATGTCCATGGTACATCTTTGCACAGTATAAGTATGAAGTTGACAAACAGATAAACCTTAGGGTTTAGCATTAGGTGTAGGAGTAGGGATCAGGATGGGTATCGTGTTGGGTTTAGGGATTAAAGGTACAATGTAAGTATGTTGTCACTGCAGCATTTGTTGTACGATCCATACATGTAAATGTAGCGAATGAGAGTATTTCATCTCACATTCGCAGCTGCATTCACTATTTGTATTATCCGCCGCTTCTCTTTCCGTGTATTAAACCGTTTAGCTTCTGGATACTACCTGCATCCACATTTTACCCTCCTTGAACCCTGTTGGTTCAGAAAGGACCAAAGATGGTATCGAGGGCAATTTTAATCAATCTTCAAGACATTCGCCACTTCTTGTTATTTTCTTTAACCCTGACGCTCCAAGATACATGTATCTCTTGCATCCACACTGTGTCAGCATTTAACCATGATGAATTAGAGATAACCCTCCTTGTTACCTCGTTCTATCTTTACCGGGGGAGGGGGGGGGGGGTGTTTCACAAAGATTCTAAGTCAAACTAACTCTAAATTGGACTTAAATATTATGGAAAGCCATTTGTAGCCTTATAATGAAATACATTCAAAAGCAAAATTCAAGTATTTTAGACTTTTCATAAATTCCACATCAAGAACATGAAATCTCCCAAGATAATAGAAAATATGAATTAAAAAAAATTTGAATCAACACTTTATGGCTTTTAAAATAATTTTTACAAAATATTTTCAATGATGCTAACTGCTTTCCATAATTGATAAGTCCAACTTAGAGATCAGTTCAACTTAAGATCTTTGTGAAACACTCCCCATGTCTCATTATTCTCTTTTAACCCTGTAGCTCCTGGATACTACACATATCCACATCCTACCCTCCATGAACCCTGATGGATCAGAAAAGACCAAAATGCTTCAAGGAACATGCTTTGGTGACGAAGGGAAGACCAATGCTAATGGAATCAACTTGGAAAATGACTATCAAAGTAAGTGCATATTGTCTGCTTTGAGCCACATGGGTATCTAACTCATATATTTAAACAAAGAGGTAATGCTCTTCTTCCTCCAAACAAACATGGTCCGAATAACCTGTTTATAATCGATTCTATCCATAATGTGTTCCTTCCCTGCAATGTATACACAGCTTTGAGCCTTGATGCAACTGGCTATTAAAAGGCATGGCCCCACAAGAGCTACAGTCAAACTGAATGTACAGAGTAAAGAGTCTTAAAGCCCCTCTAAAGTGTTGAGAGCCCCAAATTCCCAAAAAAAATTATGGCAAAACTCCACTTGAATTTTATCATAATGTGAAAAGAGGATGTCATTTAATACACATTTCTTTAAGTATTTTCAAAACAAATGTGTTTGAAGTCGAATATTGATGCAAGAATACAAACTTAAGGTTTTCTGCTTACGCTAAGTGAAATTTTGCCATCAAAGTTTTGGGAATACCATCGAACTATTCTTTCCTGTCAAGCTATGTAACTTTTAGATGGTTTGTTCTTACAAGATTCATTTTCTTCTGTTACAGTGAATGTCTTGAATATGTCAGCAGATGTCCAACCAGAGACCAGAGCCATTACTGATTGGCTGAAGAGTCGACCTTTCACCCTTGGTGTTTCCCTCTTCGGCGGGACAGTGGTGGCTCGCTATCCTTACAACTCACAAAAAGGTGAGAAACCTGTTCATCTTTCTTCTTTTTTTCTTTTTTTTTCCTTCTTTCATTAAAAAGAAAATCCAGACCTTTCCTATATTTTTGCCCATTCATTAGGCTTAAAAAAAAAGATGTTGTATTGCCCTTTGCGACTGACCCAAAATCTTGAAATCGGCAGTCGGCTTAAAAAAAAGGGAAAAAAATGTATTAAAGCGTTCAAAACTGAGAAATATCAGCCCAAAGAGGGAGTAAAAATAAATTTAAAAAAATTATTGTACCTTCTTTTAAGATCCATTTTTTAAATGGGCAGATATTCAGGACATCGAGAGAGGTTGTCTGAAAAAATAGGATCTAATGATGTTTCCTCCAGCTAAATACTTGGTTGTTTTGTTGGGAGACAAATACTGTTTAACAGCAGTCATACAAACATTGAATCATATCAGCTAGATATTCAGATTTATAATGTATTCAGACGAAGGATGCTCTTTTATTTTATTCATTATTTTAAGAGGAGTCAAAATTATTCCACATGAGTTATACTGGACTTCTTGAAATATCTTTAGAAAAATATAGAATATCTGTTCATGTTTTTCCTCATGCTAATCAATCTTCATTTATTTATTTCTTGTAGGGGGAGACAAGATAGTTCAAACATCAGATGACAAACTCTTCCAGTATCTAGCCAAGGCATATGCAAATAAGCATCCCACCATGCACCTGGGTAACCCACAATGTCCTGGAAATGCAGGTGAGTTTAAGACGTCCTTATTTTTAAAAATAAATAAGTTGCAAAAAGGAATCTGTGAATATATATTAAGATTAGAATTATTGATATGACTAAGTCTTTATTTATTTACATCTAGGTAGTGAACTATCCATTAATCCATCAGTATATTAAGCAGATACAGGCTTGCTTATCCTGTTGCTATAAAATATTTATATACCTGCAGATTTTTTCAGTTTTTGAAATAATTAGTGTTCGTTGAAAATAAAAGGTTTTCCATCTCACTTGATGTAATGGCTTTTTATTTCTGTGGTTCGTCAACTACCCCTTTAATCGTATCATGTTCTTTTGTCATTTGTTAACATGTTCAGAGGAGTCCTATCAACATGGGATTGTGAATGGTGCGGAGTGGAATGCTCAGGAAAACAATATTCAGGTATGACCTGCAGTAAAACTGAAACCATGACAATGACACTGCATGTAGAAGAAGCGCTTGATAAGAATAGTACGTTTCATGTCCCCAATGCATTTTTGCCATTGAGGAAAATAACAACAACAACAAAAGTATGTGTAATAACAATTTGGTCTCATCATGAAAATAGTTGATTGTTGTTTATCAATTTCATATTCAAATTCAAATTAAAAGTTTGATTTATCTAAAAGATATGGAAATGCTTTCCTGAAAGTTCTATGAAAAATTATCAAGGTTTAGTACAAAAAATATCTGATCCTTTTCAAGAGAAATAATTGGAATTGCATTTGTACCGAGCATGACTAACACTATAATCATGTATATTGTCTTAGCTAGACACCTTTCAGAATGATTTTTTTTCAATATGAATTTTTAAAATTTAATAGTTGTACTGGAAGAGATAATGGTTTTACAGCATGACATTCATTCTCTGTTTCTTTTTTTCTCCAATATGAACAGGATTTCACCTATGACTCCCTAGGTTGTTTAGACCTGTCAGTCCATACATGCTGCTGCCTATACCCAAAGGCTTCTGAGCTCCAGGACCTTTGGAAGGCTCATAGACCAGCCCTCCTAGAGACCATTATACAGGTGAGTGGGACCGCAGTGATTCAACATCTGCTCCTGCTATAATAGGCCTTATTCGTAGTGTAACCAAAATTATACTTAAGTGCCTTGATACAAATTATTTCATTCACCTGTTGCGTAGAATTGTATTTCAATTGTCAGAATTCAAATTGAATATATTATGTGGTGTTAGGTAGGGCAAGTCACAATGTTTGTCCTACCTAGCAACAGCTTATGTAAGCAATTTGAATTCTGGCTATTGAGATACATTTATTTGTAACAGGTGAATTAAATAATTTTTATCGAGGCGCTTTACAAAGGCATTTTCATAAATTTGGTTAAATTACCAAGTGTTATTGAAATACAATTATAGCTTCTAACACTATGAACATGACGGACAAAGAAAGCAGACAAAATATACAGTTCCTTATTGTACCCTCAACAATTGCTATGGTAGACAAAGGAACTTCCCTTCACTACTATTAGGCCTAAAATAAAAACTTGTTGCATTGCCCTTTGCGACCGACCCAAAAATCTGAAAGCCTACAATCGGCATTTAAAAAAAAAAAAAAAAAATTATTGTTTTTGAGATTTTGTTATGTTAATGAATACAAAAATATGTATTTTGTTTGTTTAAATAGGAAATAAATGCATAAAATCAAATTATTCCCAAATTCTCACCCGTCTTTTGCCCTAGTTTTAAAATCCTAGTATACGAGTGTAAGTAGACCCCGGCCTCTTGTACGTGTTTATAGTTTAATACCATACACTGCACCAGCTAGAAAACTGAGAAATATCAGCCAAAAGAGGGCGGGGAAAAAAAGTTTTAAAAAATAAAATCTTTCCCGACCGACCGACCCATGTTTTGGCACCTAAAGGGCAATGCAACAAGTTTTTATTTTAGGCCTAATGTAAAAATGTGTAGAACAGGTGTCACATCCATATTCACCTGTTCTACACATTTTTACATAACAGCAGTGAAGGGATGTCCCTTTGTCTACCATAGCAATTGTTGAGGTTAAAATGAGAAACTGTATATTTTGTCCGCTTTCTTTGTCCGTCATATTCATAGTTTAATAAGCCAGTTCATAGTTGCAGTCTGAGCATGAGCAGATAAAGGTCATTGCAGACCGAATTGTGAAATACACAGAGACAAAATACTGGATAGTATGACAGTTATGTAATCATTATACATTGATGCACAAGCAGTGCACTCCATGATACACAGGTGGAACTATTCTTTGAAAAAGGGAAACAAAGGCTATTCATGTAGTACCTCCATCGCTGAAGGAGTGATTATTTCAAAATGTACAAAGTGGGACCTCATATGTGCTAACCGTGAACTGGTCTATTCAAATGTCTCATTCCAAACAGGCACACCGTGGGATCCAGGGTGTGGTCACCACAACTGCAGGCACGCCACTAGAGGGCGCCACAATATCCATTAGCGGCCTCCATCGGAACCACGTCCTCACATCACATCAGGGTGACTTCTGGCTCCTCCTGCCGGATGGTCAGTACTCCATCACGGTCAGTGCTGAGGGTCACTCCAGCGAGACCCTTCCAGCGGTGGTCAGCGGGAGGGAGGTGATGGTCCTCAAGTTCACGCTACCTGAGGAGAGCACCATCATGGGTTTCCCGATCTACCTCTTCCTAGGAATGTTAGGTAAGTGTGAGAACAGTTCTTATCTCTGTGATCCTTTCCCTGTTGTGATCTTTTAATATGAGGTATTTTCGGTGTCACGACACTCACGCCGTGCAATCTACGCCGAGTTGAGAAGTAAGCGAGCGTACAGGATTTCAAATAAATATTTGATGTAGGATATTAAAAAAATATACCCTGCCTTCTTTCCGAGGTACTGGTTAAAACTATGGGCCTCGGTGACTCCAATAGTACTACCGGAGTCACCTCTTGCCCAAAGTTTTAACCAGAACCTCTCAAGACAGTGTATATCTGTATATACATGTAGTAAGTGATGAATGTAACCCTAGTGTAGGAAACAGTCAGATCTGAAAGATATTCCTTCTTCTTCTTCTTTACAGCACTGAGCTTTGCCCTCGTACTCCTCTCTGTGGTGTGTATCGCAAGATGTTGCCGCTCCAAGACCAAGCAAGGGAGGCGGACGAGAGGCTTCTACCAGCTCGATCAAGGCAAGATGTTCGCAGAAGAATACCACGACGAGGTCGCTCTCAAAACATTTAGAAATGGAGATAAAAAGTCGCTTCTCAAAAATATGGAATTTCACGATTTTTCAGCAACAGATAGTGAAGATGATGAAACTTTCAAAAGGTGATAGTTTCTGATATCTTTTTATATTCTCATAGAGTACTCTTATTTTACAGCCGAATAATGATTTTTGACTGCAAGTTTGTAAATTATTGCATAAAGAGAGGATATTTTTCTTTTGTAATGCCTATTGTTTTCTTTCAAGAAGAGCAGTTGAATATAGCTGGGATTTAACGAAATATGTGATTATATGATCATACGAAGATGTTTCACGTTTGTGCTGGAACTAATGGAATCATTTTTTGTTTTGATATGATACATCAGGGCCCTGTCTTCCAAAGAGATGATATTAATCGCAACTTATTTGCGATTGATATCAGTCACAAGTATGTTCATAAAAGATTGGAGACTGACAACTTGCGATTGATTAGAGGACTTACGATTGATTTGGATTAATTGCAACTCTTTGTAAGACAGGGCCCTGGCATGTACATTTAAGCAAGCTGCTGAATATAGAGGTACTTCAAAATCATGAAAACTATTTGTACTCATGAATTCCAGTCTTTTGTCAAGGTATGGGCAAAGTATGTATACATTGATAAAGAATTGTTAATGCAATGCCCTTTGAATGCAAAATATGTCAGTATTTGTTCAAAATCAAGGAATTCTAGTATGGTTTTACCCAAGTTCTTTGGGGTTAAAAAGATTTTTGAAACGAGTTGTGAAAAGCCGTCTATCCATTTATGTGCTAGTGCTTTTTTCTGTTTTTAAAGGGTAAAATGATTTCTGATTTGGACTGATTCAAATGAATATGCAATATGATCACGCAAAAGCCTGAAAACTAGCATTTCTGTGTTTAGGTTATGTTCCTATGAACTATTACCATATGAATAACATGTACGGTAGAACCTCATTACAAAGAACACGGTTATATCAAACTCTGTTGTAACTAGGTGGTTTTGCAGGTCCTACTGTAGTCACTTGTTTTCGAGCTGTGATATAACAAGATTTCATTGCAGCATGATAACTTCTTTTGTCCTAAGCAGTATGACATAATGTTGTTCCATTGTATTACATTCTATTGTATTGGGTACATAGTAACATATTTTAGTTTCTTTCATTTACATACAAGTATGTTTTAGCTTAGCCAGAGCATAACCAGATGCATGTGTATTATATGTTTGTTTATAGTAACACAATGGTAGGTAAGTCTGTATCATACAAAATGTGATTTTAGGCATGGTTTTAAAGTTTGGTGGCTTCCAGACATAACGAAATATCTATATTTAAAAAATTCTCATAAAAAAAAAACAGCCATAAATATTTTTGTCTGAGTAGTTGTCTACATGTGCAGAAAAAGTTTTATGAAGGTCAGTTTTATACTTCTATGATCTTTGAAGCCCAAACCTTTTTTTTCTTCTTCGCTATGTATTGGATACTTATTTCACATTTAATTGTATATCAGCTTATTCAGTAGCACATCTCATATGGAGGCCTTGTAATTTTTTATTTTTTTGCATCGTTTTTGCCTTTAGGATGTGCTATAACCACTGAGAAAATGCATTGTAGATTGTACGTGTATATGTTTGCTTCAAAAATTTGTTTTCCATCAACTGTAAGAAATCTCATCTTTTATTTTGCACCTTGTAATTTTCAGTGCATTTGATTTCCCCAATTTTTGGCCAAAGAATAATATTTCTTAAACATGCTTATGTATACATGTTTCAGTTAGCATCACCTCATATGCATACAAGTTTCAGTGGGCTTCCCAAGAACCTCCAAAAATTGATTTGTTCTAGAGTTTGGAGAGATTAGATGTAAGTTTATAATTTAGGACTACCGGTAGTCCAAGGTTTTGGGTCATTTAATGACTAGTATGGTGAACATTAATTAATATAAAATGTATTTTTGTACATGTACTTAATTGTTTGTCTGATGCAAGCTCTTGACACTATGAATATGACGGACAAAGAAAGCGGACAAAATATACAGTTCCTCGGGTAGACAAAGGAACATCCCTTCACTGCTATTATGTAAAAATGTGTAGAACAGGTGTCACATGCACATTCACCATTTTACATAATAGCAGTGAAGGGATGTTCCTTTGTCTACCTGAGGAACTGTATATTTTGTCCGCTTTCTTTGTCTGTCATGTTCATAGTGTGATGGCTATCAACTTTGTGCGAATATTAGATGTACAAAAATGTTGAATGTGTTTGGTGATGCGTGGGATATAATAGTTATTAATAGGCCATTTTCGTAATGTAACCAAATTTAATGCATAAGTCTTTGTGAACTGCCTCAATACAGATTATTTCATTCACCTGATAAGAATAATGTTATTTCAATAGACAGAATCCGAACTGTGTACATTAGTTGTTGCCAGGTTGGACAAACATTATGGCTTGACCTACCTAGCAACACTTAATATATGCAGTTGCATTCTGACTATTGAAATACTATTATTCCTATCAGGTGAATGAAATAATTTGAATTGAGGCACTTCACAGAGACTTATGCATTAAATTTGATTACATTACGAAAATGGCCTATTGCCCAATAGTAAATTTAATTGTTGTTTGCATATGGTTGAATGTGCACTTGCTCAATGAAGGATGTAGTGTGAAAAGGTCACAGTTGTTTCTAATGTATAACAATGATAATGATAGTAATGTTGGCTTTCTGTGTAGTGATCGTATCCACCAAGCAGTGATGCTCTTGGCGCTCTTAACATTATTACCCCTGTCATGGCAGAGCGGCCAAATATTGAGCACTTCAGCATATCAGGTATCCATATACACCTGGGTGGAGTGTGGCAATGTAGATTAATGTCTTGCCCAAGGACGTTAGTACTGAGTTTGAGGTGAAGTGTACAAAATTGACAATGATGTATAATGCTTCTCAAGAATTCTTGTCTGATATACTTAAAGCAATGCAATATTGTATATAAATTATATCTATAACAAACAAATCATTATATCTATTAATATTTCCCATACATCTCATCTACTTTGCAAACAAATATAAGGGTTTTCTTTTCTGCTCTATGCATATAAAAACAGGCTGATTTCATTTTTTTTTTTTTATTAATCGTCTTCCATAAAGCACAAAATTCTACTCTTAACATTTGCTATAATTACTATTTGCTAGTTTCTAATTTGTTCCTTTTTTCAGTTTAAAAAAAAAAAATCTTCTTGTACATCTCTATCACATCATCTTCCTTTGCTAGCTTCTTCAGTGGTTCTCACTTTACATTCTTTGCAATTATCTTTAAGTTGGTTATTCCTTTTCTAGTATTTGTCCATTATTATTAGGTTTTCCTCAATCTTCTCCTTGACATATTCTTCTTTTGTTTTACATTATCTGTATTAATGTAAGTGCAGTATTTCTTTCCATCTTTCAGTTTTCATTTCCAATGTTTAAAAGTGAATATTTCAGTTACAATGATTGGATAAGTCTGTGAAGATAAGCCTGAAATCTATTTCAATGTGATGCTTATATTTATGATGTATACTTTGATTCTTCATTTCTTTGATTGTTTCAAGTATCAACAAGACTCCTTTGTATGGTGATGAATTACTGTATTTCTGTGTGTGTCAAAGACCTATTGTTATATCTTGCATGACTTTATGAAACACTAGTTAGAGTTTAATAAATACATCAAATGTATCTACCGGTAGCTGTATAGTATGAGAGGTCATATAGATATTTATGGCATATACAGATTAAAGCAATGTATGTGGAAAAGAAATACAAAAATGCTGGAACGTGGTAGTGTTTGCTTAGACCAATGTCTCAATTCTATGAACCTCAATTTTTCCTGTGCTTCAACTTGAAAGACCTCATGAAGTGATATATGTTTACAGACATTTTGCCTTTTATTTTGTCTTTCAAAGAAATTGCCTTCTCTCAGCTACTCATGAACATCGATCAATCCGTTTCAGTTTGTGAAGCAATAGAGTTAGGAATTTCAGGAAAATTGGTTGAAATAAATGAATGCCTTCAATATGTACCAATTATGTTTTTTGTATTATTTTTCTCTCTAACTGTATTTGCATTGTCATTCTTTAAGTGTTATGATGTACATGTATATATTTTTCTCATAAAGTCAATGTCAAAATGGTTGCTACAGTATGTGGGAATAATATTTTTTTTAGCTCTCTATTTTTTTTTAAAGTTCAGTCCAGTGAAAATTGGAACAGGTAAACAAAATAGTTGCTGACAAGTTACTTATGTGTATGCACTTTTGAAATTATCTAACAGCTTACACAGCATGTAACACGTGTGACCGAGTAGTCAACATTACTTTTATCAGTTCGTTTTGAGAGGAGATCAATTGGCAATATCAGTTCATTGCAGTATTTTTTCAATAGACCAACTTTTTAGGTACTTCTAAAGTTAGATACAGTAGAAATGTACTAATTTAGCGTTCTTGAATAAAATCTCCTATATTTTCTTCTAATTAATTATTTAATTGAAAATCCTTCACCTTATTTGCCCTTGCATGCCTCTATATTACTAGTCCAGATTCAGTCCGTTCGTTCTTTTTATCCCCCACACACAGCGCGGTCTCTCCACTGATCGCGCAATCCCCAAATTTTCGTCCACACGAAATTCAGGACCCAGATTTAGAGGAATGGCTAGGTCAACTTTCAACGTTGAGGGTGTGTTATTTTATCAGCTGATTGGGTGCGCTAAACGAAAACGGTACAGAGGCTGGACTACCATATTACATGTAAAAGAAGAAAATGGCAAGAGATTTTTTTTTTTCTCTCAAGCTCGCTTTGGTTTAGAGAGAATTTTGTAGCACAGCGCTCACTATCTATTTCTCACATCTCTGTACATGTCTTTGAATATTTGTTCAATGATGATTTCTATTGAATCATTTATGTGTGGATCGAAGGTCAAAGACCTAACATGAAGTATTATGAATTTGATATTCTGGTGGAAGATGATTTATGTAATATATTTTGAAATATACATGTATTTAACAGTCATTAAATCTCAGTCCTATAACATTAAAAAAAAAGTAAAGTGTGTGCCTGTGTGTGTGTTTGGTCTAGTCTTAACATTTTCCGGAAAATAAAACTAGTATAATGTGCACCTCTGAAAGATTTGGGGTGCTGTCAGTGAATTCTGAAGTGAATTCTGAAGTGAAAAGGGGGCACCAAAGATGTGACCCCCCCCCCCTTTTTTTTTTTGTGTGTGCTTGTTTGTTAGAGAAATTTCTAAGTGAAAGGCATCCCCAAAAATGTGATGGGGGAAAATGTTTCAAACTGGAAACAGGTTAAAATAATGATCCTTGCTTTTTGAAACTTGACCATGAAAAATTGGGTAAAAATGAAGGAATTTTTTTCTTCATGAAAATGCTGGTAACACTGCAGTTTTGTCCGCATGAAATGTAAATGACTTGTACATGTACTTTTTGTTTCAAGTGGGGTGAAATTGGACTTTCTCCTAAAGGGATGGGGTTCCTTGATTTAGCTCCTGCTGCAACTGACTTTTACAAGCCGATCGCCTGTCTGATTATCAAGATATTTATGATTGAAAATCGAAATCAAATTTTGTGTTTGCCAAACGGTTTTCATAACAATGCAGTCTATTGGGGAAAACGAGTATGGTAAAACCAATCACTCAAAGGTTTTTACTTTTTTGAGGCATTTCTTGATCATTTTGAAGCGCAATTTTTTTAGGGCTTCAATATAACACTGTATCACAGACACTGATAACACGTAGGGCAGTGCTTCTCAGATTTAACATTGTTAAACAATCCCTTTAACAAAGCAGGCAATGATGCTCAAGTCTTGATTGTACAAAATATGTGAACACTTTATTCCGTAAAAAGATCCTGAACGAGTATGAAATCAGAATAAAATCCTGTCACTATACAACCAAGCAGACTTTATCTATATATCACAATCTGAAAAATAAAAAACTACAATTAAAAACTACATTTTGATCATGTTACAATTTCACTTAAAATAATTGTCTAGGAAGTCGTATTACATTCATTCTTTTGTTCTTAGACACAATACACAATACCAATAGTTTTCATTTCATAATTTCACACGTCACGTATATATCTGATGATTTTTGATACAGGGTGGTTCAAAAGAAAATTGAAACATGTAAATTGTAACATGGAAGGGGTCTCTACGTATGCAAAGCATGAAGTCCCTAGTGGCCTGCTCCCAGACTCGTTTTGAGCGCCAGGCCCTAATATTCTTGGATGCACGCACTCTGGTGCAATCTGAGCAATGCTTTGAAGCAATTTCAAACACATTTTTATGACAAATGATTTCATAAATAAGTTTGGTTGAATATGAACCTGTCGCTTATTTTCAAACCTGGGGAGTGTTTCACAAAGACTAAGATCGACTTTAAGTTGGACTTAACTATGGCAGGCTGTTCATGCCACTAGTTGCTCTCAGTCACCATTATGATCTTTAGAATATATTTTTTCCTTCAATAATGAAGTATCAAAGAATGTGAATTCTGTAGATTTGGGACCATGATTTGTACGTCCCTTGAGAGACCAATGCCAGTAAATGGTGAGAGATAACAGTGGCATGAATGGCCTGCCATAGTCAAGTCCAACTTAAAGTCGATCTTAGTCTTTGTGAAACACTCCCCTGTACTATCATAATTCAAACCTCTCACTTATTTTCAAACCTGTATAATACAAATTTAAACCTGTTGCTCTTACATATTTAAACCCCTTATAGGCCATCCTGGTTGAATTTTTTTTTACAACTCACTATAATGTACATTTACCTATAATAATATCTCTTGTAGTCCCTACGTGTTGACCTATTCACTTCCGGCCGTTATGAAAACGAAGTAGACTATCAAAATCAAGTAAATGTTTTCTACTTGGTGACTATTTCACGGCAGCAATTGTAAAGCCTCAATCAGATATTATGTGGTTAATAATGGCATTTTCCCCTTTTTTTGTATTAAGACTTACATGTAAGTTTAATAGGCTTCACACTTCTGTATCTCATAGCAGGACCTTCCTTGCCCGCAGTTACCATTTGACAGCAATTGTTTTTATTAAAAAAACACCCCCAAAACAGTGGTTTATCGCATCATATCTGAATTAGGCCTTATAGTGTAATAGGTTTGAACATTATGTACACAAATACCTTAACTTAAAAAAGAACAATATATGTTGTAGACAACTGTTGTAGACAAGTTAAACTAGCGAATAAAATGGTAAACTATTCCTTTGGGCTATGTGGCAGTCATCCAATTGTCAGCAACCTCAGTTAAAATGCATTGAAATACTTTCACACCCTCACCTTAAATGTGCAAAGTGTCATTTTTTATATGTAACTTAGAAGTTATTAACCAATTTCAAATCTGACTCTGCCTACCATAATTTTGCTTCATATGTCGTGATTTTTGGTCCGAAATCTTGCATTTCAGATTTAGCAAAAAAAATTATGAGTGGAATGTCTTGTAGGATTTTTGTTTTGCTCTAGGCATATGCTTTGATTATAAAGATTATGAAAACTATGAAATTGGTAGGATGAAGATCTCATATTCCTTGACATTTGAAATCAATAGTTTTTATCCATCTCTTATAAATGGTGTGGAAAGTGCTAACAGCTCCTCCTCTCTTGCAATTACGATCTGATAAGAAGAAAATATTATTTAAAACATGATACAATCTCACATTTGCAACTGCCTAACTTCATCACTGAGATAAATACCAATATTGCTTGATTTCTCATACAATTACATTTCTAAAAATTTAATTGTTCATTTAAAAAAAAGTATTTCCAAAAATGTGAAAGGATGTGGATCAATTCTTATCTCTTTTCAGAATCCCTAGCAGTTTTCGAAAGATGCCTTTCTTCTTGGGCTCATCGGCCTCAAAGTCATGGGGTGCGATGTCGACGGAGAAGTTGCGCCTGTGAGGCACACCGGACTTGTTTGGCGTCTCATCCTCCACGCTCATGAAGACACTGCTGTCTCCTGTACTATCCAGGGTGATCCACTGGCTGCTGCTGTTCAGGCATGGTGCTTCCGGGCTGTCCGGTGAATCCTTGGACGAGACGTCGGGATTGGACGCTCCATCTTCAATGTTTTTGTCGTGACCGTTTTCCTTCTTATCCTTTGATTCATCTTCCCCGTTTCTGCCCTTAGTCCTTTTGTCACTTCCTACCTCCCCGTCTTCCTCCTCCTCCTCGGTGGTATCCACGCCTGACGGGACTGCATCACTGGAAGACGAGATGCTGCTATCCGCGCCTTTCTCCAGGGCCGCCAGAAGCTTGGTTCGTTCCGTCATGAGCCGGTCCAGATCGGGAGACGCGGATCGGGAGGAGGTTTGGGAGTTCGCGCTTTGCCATGGTAACGACTCATCCTGGCTGGATGCTGATGGACTGTCTCTGATTGGAGTGGGTGGGGCTGAACCAGGGGGTAAAGGGGGAGGCGTGGCTATTTCTGGTGTTGGGGGCAGAGGAGGTTGAAACCAGCCTCGCACAGGAGTTTCTATTAAAAAAAATATATTTAAAAAAATAGAGTAGAGAATCGTGATCAAAGACCTAGCTGTGGAGAAATTCATTATATTCTTCTAATGGTATAATTTACACTCCACACAAGAACCAGTAGTCACCAGTAGCATTCCCAATCACAGAATCAGCAGTTTACTATTCATTAAATTTCTTATGTACCGAGAAATAGCACAAATCACTAAATTGAATCCATTTCTGTCGTAGTAAATTATGCCAAACATACATAAATATTGTTTTTTAATGAAAATAAGCATAAAATCTATACATCGGCAATGCATAAACGAATTTTTTTAATCACTTCTTTCACGTACGATGGGGCAGTATTTAAGAAACTTAAGAAACGTTTCGGTTAGAAGAGACAAAGCTTATTCATTATGTAGGGTAAGTAGGCATGGAAATGTTACTCCAACCAAGTATCATGGCATAATGCATGTTGAGTGTGCGAACACCAAAGTGCTAAACAAAGTAGGCTAAAACAGCCTGAAATGAAAGAAAAAGAATCCAGAAAAACCCTGGAAACCCCCAAAAGGGCTCACCTGGATACTCCATACTGATATCCATATCCACCGAGTCCTTCTCTATCCTGCGTTTCTTCTGACTGCTGCTCTCGTTGAAGTCCCTGTTCTTACGCTTGCTGTGAGGCGTCACCTTCTCATCCTCGTCCACTGCCATGGGTGTGAGGTGGAGCTTGAGGACCTCCTTGCTCTGGTTGCTCTGCATCGGTATCGAGTTGTACATACGCCACTCCTGCACACAAAAGTAGAGGTAATAAATATACAGTCAAACCTGTCTATAGCGACCGCCCAAGGGAAACACAAAAAGTGGTCTTTGTAGACAGGTTCCTTTAGTACATGTTTCAATGAGAAACCATTTTCAAAGGAAAAAAGAAATGTGGTCTTTGTAGACAGGTGGTCTTTCTAGACAGGTGATCACTAAAGCAGGTTTGACTGTATATTACTTAGTATGTATTAAGTTTTGAATCCATACATTTGTCCTTTCTTACAAAGTCTTGTAAAAGAAAATATCTAGTTCTAGTAGAGAAAAGAAACATTGGAAGAAGTGAATAGATTTCAGGATTTTCTTAACGCTGGTTGTTCTGCATCAGGATTGAGTTGTAGTTGTAGACCGCTCAAGACAGACAAGAAGGGCAATCTTTATTGATATGTTATTTTTCTGAAGGTTGCAAACTCTGATTTGAATCCCTTCCGCGAACTTGTGTTATAGAGAACGTAAGGTACTTTGGTATTGCTGCCCTCACCATCACTATCAAAAATGTATGTAGGAGTGTGTGAATATTACATGTTTCACAGAAGTTTCTTCACTACTCGGTGGATTCATTTTAAATTTGATATCGAGATGTAAACATGGTAAATCCAAGATTCATCTTTTTTAATTTAAATTTCTTGAAATTGCCAACCTCAAACACACACCCCAAAACAAAATCAACCACGTATGCAATCTAATGATAGTGGTGGTGTAAGAAGTAATAATTATTAACAAAAAGTGGTCATTTATGATTCCCAAATGTAGGTCATGTTGATTTAATTTCTTGTTTTTTTGTGTGTTTTTTTTCCTGGAAAAAAACAGCCTGATAATTATTTCACGCTGTACATGTATGTCTTCTGTGTTGTTTCTGTTACCCTGAGCCCTCAAGTATAAAAGTATTTCAACTACTGACGAGGCTACCCTGATGAAATAATATCAAATAAATAAATACAATAAATACACAGAACATATATAACAAATATTTGAGACGAGGAAGAGCTAAGTTGACTTACATCTGCAACGGATGGGTCAGCTTCAACGTTGAAACCTGGGTAGTCTATTAGCTTGTTGAGGTTAAACTTTGGCTTTCTGCTCTCCCCATCGTCGTCACTAGGGACTTCCCCTTCCTCATCTAGTACAAAAATAGAACATTACATCACTGGAAGACCCTGGGATTGACCTGTAAACTTTTTCATCAGCCTGGAAAATTTAATTAAAGGTATAGACCAGTTATGGTCATGCGATTTCATTGTGATAGAAACGTTGTGGAATCGATGAGAAAAGGTTGATCATCTAGCATACAAGTATTGGTGTGTACTGCAAGGTTCTGGAATCATTAAAATGATAAGAAATTTGGCCCAGTCTTGGTAAAGTTACAAGCACCGTACACAGAAAGATGTATATGGGACTACGCAATATCTATCCAGGCCGGATCGATATGATAATTTACCAAATATATCAATTAGTAGGCAGTTTCCCCGCAAAATTTGTATCATCACGTATTAGTCAAAACATATTCTTTCACATGATTGGTAATAAGAGCTTCCATTTATTTTTTTTGAGAGGGAGGCATTTCCAAAACTGGTCTATACCTTTAAGACTGTTTAAAAATACATGAAAGTTATAGTTCCTACAAATTGATTGTATCATGTCTAAATTACCTTTCTTTAGATGTATTTTAATTTTATCATGGTGCAACTAATGATTATTCTTTACAAGGCTTTTAATAAATTACAAGACAAATGTTTGCAATAGAACCCCAATATCAACCACACAAAGAAAAATGCTTCCAGAGGCATGGGTCAGCTGATTGAAAGGATTTGAAGACAGTTTATCTTCCAAACTTTGGGATAACAAAGGAGGGGTCCCCACCCTGAAAGACATACTGTAGGTAGGCCCGCATTACTGAAACTATCACACTTTACGCTAAACCCATTCAAATGTCATAATGTATATGGGCATATGGAGTACTTTGATTTCGGGAGAGCCAAACTTCAACATAACTTTCTGTAACTAAATAAAAAACAGACACTTGTTACTATGAAATTGGTTTCTAATTTTCTTTTCATGACCAGGGGAGTGTTTCACAAAGACACTGAAGAAAATGATCGGGGGTGTTTCACAAAGACTAAGATCAACTTAAGTTGGACTTAAATATGACAGGCTGCTCATGCCACTGTTTGCTCTCACCATTTACTGGCATTGGTCTATCAAGGGACGTACAAATCATGGTCATATATCTACAAAATTTCCATTTGTTTATAATTCATTATCAAAGGAATAAATATTATCTAAAGATCATAATGGTAAGAGCAAACAGTGACATGAACGGCCTGTCATAGTTAATTAAGTCCAATTTAAAGTTGATCTTCGTCTTTGTGAAACACCCCCCTGATCATTTTATTCAGTGATTGTGTTACATTATTACAGTAATTTCAACAGAATTGAAGGGTTGACAACTGGCCTTCCATGAACAGGAGAACTACTAAGTTGAACTGGGTTAAATTTGAGCATTTTTAAGGATTATTAGCCATTTTTCATACCTGTGTTCTTGATGTTGTAGACCTTGAGATCTGACTTGTGAACCTGAGCATCCATATAGTGACCGGGTGGGTACCCGAGACGTCTCATACCATAGATGTACGGTGGAAGCTGGTTGGATGATAAACCCATCGCTTGTCTCAGGGCATCACTGAAAAGGAATACAAAGGAGAGGATTGAAGCTCATGAACTTACATGTAACTGCATGGATTAGCCAATTTGAAAACATGCAACAAATCACTTTAGTAAAACTTTTGTATCCTAGAAGGGAAAAAATTAGGGAAATACAACAATTGATTTGCCAGATACAGCTCGTCTGCACTAGTTTGGCCAGGAAAGATTAGACCACCCTGCTGGGCACTGACAGGTGGTTATCTCATCAACTCAGCTCTCAATTAACATAAGAAAAAGAGGATCATGGGGGACCAACGGGCACCGCTTAGGCATTGTATAGAGGGAGCAAGTAGCTACAAATAGTATTGATGCTACTAAATTTTGCTTTACTAGCTGTCCCATGCAGGATAAAACAGACTTACCTGATGGCTCCTGCTTTGAATGCCTTGAAGCGATCAGCCGTAGCCCCGCCCTCTCCATCCTTGTGATATCGTCTCCCTGAGATGGTGTTCGCAGGGGAAGATGACATCTGGTCCATGAAGAGCTTCTTGTTCTGGCTGATCCGAACCAAGTCACGAGCCTGTAAGGTGAGGAGACAAGAATAATTAAGAGGTTATTATGGTTTATAGTATCTTTATTCCAATTAATTGATTAATTATTTGTTTGTAAGTTCTAAAGGTGTTGTGATATAGTGGACAAGTCGTCGGACTGTGGATCACAGGGTCTGCGTTCGAGTCCCGCCGCGGCACTTATGTCCTTTGGCAAAAAATTAATGAACATTTGCCACACTCCACCCAGGTGTTAAATGGGTACCGGTAGGAAGGAATTCCTTGAATGTTGTGAGCGCCAAAATTGACAGCCTAGCAGAGCCGGGTAATATTTGGAGCGCCTTGAGCACCTTGCATGGTGGATATGTGCGCTATATAAATATCTGATATTAATAAAGAGTCTTGCTTGATGTGTGTCTCCTCAATCTGCCTGAAATTATGTTATCAGGGGATGACACCTTCTGGTCTATAAACGGCTGCTTGTTCTGACTAATCCGTACCTAGTCACGGGGCTACATGATAAAAAAATACGACTAGGAAGAAAGTACAGCTGGTTTACAACATCTTCATTCTTTATAAATGATAACTGTTTGTTTATAAGTTTGAAAGAGTCTTGTTTGTGGTCTAATCTGACTGAAATGGTGTTTACATAGGATCTGATCAAAGAATAGCTTCTTGTTCTGGCTGATTTGTACAAGTCAAGTCACAAGACAATAGAGCGAGGATAGGAAGAGATGTATGGCAGGTTTAAGACGTTTTCATACAAAAGTAGTTTAACAACACCAAGTTGCAAGAAGAAGAAAAAATGTCAACAGGAACAGATGAGGATTTATGAAACATAGAACTATGTTAATATCATTTAAATATGACTTTAAAATACTGTTGTGTTAAATTGACTGCGGGGCAACTGTGATTAAAGCATATGTCATACAGTCATATGAGCTACCAATATGCGGATAAGGTACAACATTCTATGAGTACACTTCATTCTCAGTCCTGATCCATCTGTTTACAAATGCAAAATACAGACTTGATTTTCTTCGAAATATAACAATAAGGTTTTCTTAATAGTGCAGTTCAACACAAAATGGGTTCTCAAACTGCTTTCCAAACAAATTAAAACATAATCACGCAAACACATATCAGATCTATGAACTACTTACCAAAGTTTCTACATACCGGTATCTGTTTAAATAATGTTCACATTATATGAATATGAATTTGAGACTTACCACGGGGCATTCTCTCAAACTATGTTTCTCATTGCCACAGTTGAAGCAGGAAGCCTTTGGTCGTTTCCTAATGGAAAGATGAGAGAGGAATAGAACAGTTTTAATAATGTAGTTGGTGAGCGAAAGACAAATAAATGACAACCAAATTGGACAAGTTCTTCTACTGTCTCTCTTTTCAAGTTTAATTTCCCATACAATCCTTCTCCTTTCATACAAAGAAACAGCCTCAAACCTTCATCAACATTACTCCTCAGAACCATCCTTCTTATTAGGGTAGTTCATATCGAAACTGCCAAAACTGCCAGTCCACTTTCACCTGCTATACTACAGTAGCAAATGTATGGGGTCCTGCATCCTTATATTCAGAAATTCCCCAGTTTGATTCTGAATGTAAACAGTACACCACTGTTAACATAGCAAACTATTTCCTTATCTGCCTGGAACCACACAAACCAGTGTGAAGTTTACTGCTTGACCCACTGGGTAAAAAGCTGGTCCATTTTTTAATGTATATAGGTGCGGATGGGATAAAACATAATCTAAAAAAAGTGAGGAAAGTTTTTACCCTTTTGATGGTCTACTTGGTTTGTCATCGACGGGCAAGGCTTCACGGAAGATGATTGGATAGCTGGTGTGAACAGGCATTCAGGAAATAAAGTACAGTAAAAGAGAAAGGCATGCATACAGCATCATAATCAACCAAGAGATAAAATAATTCAGCTTTTTGTTGTATTCGTTCTTTGTTTAGTTAGTCCAACAGTTTATGGGGTGCCAAGTAGCAACCCCTTCCTCTTGTACAAATAACCATACATTATTTAATTAATAATGACCATGAAAAATAATGCCACAATATTTTTCATTTTCATTTCATGACTAGAATCATACTGTTCAATAATTCTTATTATGGAATTACTGTAAATTGAACAAAATGAAGACAATTTCCTCTTGGCATTCCATAAATCTGTGAACTACCTGAAGCAAGATTTAGTCTTTAAGAATGTAGTCAATTGAATTAATCTTTGTGAATTAAAAGTATACATTTCATCTGAATTATTCAAAAGATTTTTTCCAATTTCTAATAACAGACAAGAAAAACAAAAATAATAACAGTAAAAATTACGAGATAATATAATAAATTCAAGAAAAGTTTCCTCTTGGCATTCCATAAATCTGGAAATTATCTGAAGCCAGGTTAAGCCTTAAGAATGTAGCCCATTAAATTACTCTTCGTTACTTAAAATAATACATTTCATCTGAATTATTCGTTGGATTTTTTTCAGATTTCTAATAACAGACAAGGAAAACAAAAATAATAACAGTAAAAATAACAAAATAATATAATAATTTAAAGGATACGCCGGTATTTCCCATCCCTCCGTCATCTCGATATTACCATCCACGAGGGGGCGCCCAAACGTGTCGAGACAGAATAAGAGGTAGTATTGCACGTTGCCAGTGGCAGTGAAGGCTTCTTGATTGGCAGGGTCAGGGTCTTCAGACAGGACCATGGAAGAACACTAAGATAGGGAGAGAATTAAATAATATAGTAAGATAAAATAAGAGATCAAGTGTACCAATCGCCCAAAACTATATTGTTTTGTATGTTATTGGGTTCGTCCAGAAAGTTGGGGCAGTTTTTGTGACATACCAGAAATGAGAAACTAGTCTCCTATCAATTGTAACAATGTTTGCTCAAATTGAGTTTTGCATAAAAAGCATAGCCAACTATCTTCAGAAGTACTCAAGCTTCATGGTTAATCAATATCATGGACCCACATTTTAGGTAATGTTATATGAATATGGTGTCCATGTAATGCTGGTAAAAAGAGAAATGTGTATTAAGCAAAGATTTTAAAGAAAAGCAGCTGAAACAGGAGCGATTCTGGCAGGGCACTACTACATATATTCATTGCATAAAAATCTTCAACAAATAATTTCATCTTCCATGTGTAGTAGAAGATCTCATACCTACGTTACATGGATACCGTTATATTTTTTGCCCCAACTTTATGGAATGACCCTGTTAACTCCATGTCGTAATAAAAATATGAGCTTCAAATATTACTTCTGTAAAGAGATTTTGCTAGTTTAAATACACTCTCAATTAACATAAAAGCAACTTGTGAGTAGACTATCCAACGTATAAACGCTTGTATAAAATAGGCAGTGTTAATGTGCTATGCGTATCATGACATTCTAAAATGCAAACTTGGGTGTCGCCATCACATTTATGCATCATGGTATGGATTTATAACAAAAATAACTCATCAATTCTAATCGAGTGAGGAGTTTTGCAGTAGCGGTAATTCCATTCACTAGTAAGAAATATATAATATTAAAATCAGAAGGGAAAAAAAAGGAAATGACTTACCTGAGGTAGAACCCTGCTGTATTCATACTTCTGTCCCATCGGTTGGGCTTGCATGTCAAAATGGTGTGAACAAACATGCTCAAAATATTTCTCAATTTCTTGCCTGTATTTACTGCAAATATGAAGTTTAAAAAATGATAGAAATAAGAGAAGACATTGGAACCTGACATACCTGATTCTCTTTCCTCATCATCAATCATCATCATCAAGTCTATCATTCATCATCATCGTCACAGTCTCCATCCTCATCATCATCATCATCATCATCATCATCACAGTCTTCATCCTCATCATCATCATCATCATCATCATCATCCTCATCATCATCAACATCATCATCCTCATCATCAACATCATCATCACCATCATCATCTTTATCATCATCATCATCTTTATCATCATCACCATCATCATCATCTTTATCATCATCATCATCATCATCATCATCGTCATCATCATCATCATCATCATCATCATCATCATCATCATCATCATCATCATCATCATCATCATCATCATCATCATCAAGTCTATCATTCATCATCATCAGCATAACCCTCATCATCTTCATCATCATCATCACCACCACCACCACCACCACCACCACCACCATCATCATCACCATCATCATTATTTCACACCTGCTACATCCTACATACAACTGTTCATGTCATTAATAGAAGTAAGAAACTTACCACACTTTTTCATGATTCATATAGATAACTTGTGCTATAGGACCATCCTCGGTTCCTTCCGATACCTTGTACCCCCTGTGAGAATAAAAAAAACGTATAGTAAATCCCTCAATCAACCCATCAACAAAGTTTCATCACAGTAGCTCATCATCGGTCAATGTTAAATAAACTGTAATGTCAATCCGTTTATTTCTGTTCTCTAACATATCACTTTTGTGTTTTTATTTCACAATTTCTTTTTATTTCTCCCATCTTCCCTTTCCTTCAAAACAAATTCTGGAGCAAAAGTAAACAGCACCACAAGTCCACAACAATATCACGACAGTGTCCAAAATATCCAGGAATTAGCAGAATAACTTCACTCACTAAGTGTTTAAATCTGGATTAAATGAAAACACTTCCATGAAGAACAGCCAAAGAAAGTTAAGAAAATGTGTAACGTATTTACTTACTTGGCTTGTATGCATACTTTTAGTTGAGCTTGAAGTTTCCGATGTGAATCAATGTTAAGAAATAAATAATGACCTTCCAAAAAAGGTCTGACTGTACATGAAGCAAGGATTTAAAGCCATGATCAAAAAATTAATAAACCAAAAAGTGAAAGAGATATAGGTCTACCGTATATCCATCATTCAATTTTAATTTTCTTGCTCGCCTAGATATATCTCGGGAAGGATCAAGTTATGATGTTATAATATTATATCATTACTTGAATTCCCAACTTTTTTTAAACTTTTGAATCCAATGATTAATCATTTGCTAGATTCAATTTTTGCAGCCGTAGTTTAAACTGTTACTGCGCATGCGCTGCAAAAATGTCAATACAGAGCTCGGAGCCGAGTTCAAAAGACCCTTAAACACATCATACACAGTCAATCTGGTAAGTGGAACCAATGTTTATTGGCCTAGACCTAATTTTCAAAAATAAATGCATCGGATATATGAAACCTGCTTAAGACTTTCAGTGCGTTTTAGTCCAAAATTTTGGCCGAAATTAGGTGGTTAGATCCATGCCACCGAGTTTGCAGAGCAGACCCTACGGTCGGCTTCTGTCTCTAAAGAGAGGACCCGACCCAACCGGAATAAGAGGCTAACAAACAAAAGAGACAGACACTTTTGGTCTAGTAAAACTATAGCTTTAAAAGTGAATTTGTTCACTGTACCGCACAGACTGACCATCCCCCCATCCCTACACTTAATTATGATCTTATCATGACCAACAAAAGTTAATGGCAAAGTAAGGCAAAAGTAGTGCTGTAAGTCAGACGCTATGTTCGTGTTCGGTTCGGCAGAGTTTGGCAATTTTTCACCCGAACTTGGTTCGGTTCGGGGTTCTGTAATATAATAGCAAGCAGCATTATAGCCACGACGGTCGGCACTGGGCGGGCCGCCCGCCCTGCCGGGCCCGACCAGCATGGAGGACTTCTGCACACTGCTTCCGACCAGCTCGAATTTCACATTAAAAAACTGCTCTAAACGTAATTATTTGCGAAGAAAATACTACTTACATTCGTATTTCCGTCTTGAATCGTGTTTTATTTTCATTTTTAAAAGAACCAATTTTTTCAATTTGTCGATAAATAATATTTTTTAAAGATTTTCCGAGACGGTTTTTGTCTAATGTTAGAGTCATGAAAGCTGCCATCTTGAACAGAGACTCAGGCTCGTCAATAACTGTTTTTTTTATAAGTTTTTATTTTCAGTAGGAAAAATATAAAATCCCTATTTTTCTTGGATAAATAAATACCATACTAGAATATATATTTATTTCATTATTTATATTGTAAAATTTGTCCGATATGGTTACAATAAAAATATTATTTTTTTGTTGAGTGGGTTTGAGCTGAACCTGGACCGTTTTGATCACGCACATGTAGACCTATTCTTGTTAATATGGCTTGCGATCGCGACGTAGCGTGGTCAGGATTTGAGATTTAAATGGCGCCAGTGAAGTTGCGCCCACCACTGGATAGGCATAAATCACAAAGGTGGAAAATGGGAAAAAAGTAAATATAAAATGAGCAATCATGACATGGAAATTAGGTACAAAATGACAAGTTTATTAGCTTGCAAAAACGTTTACATTTTTCTGCCGAACATTCGAACCAGGCCTTTGCGTTCGGTTCGGTTCGGCAGTTCGGCTACAGCACTAGGCAAAAGGCTTTTAAATCATTATCTCTAGAGAGCACAAGGCCCCCTCCGTGGCATTGCACTGCCACAAGCCGAGAGATTCGCGTCCGTGGCCCTGTTGGGTTTCGCCCGAGTCTGGACGACCTTGAGGTCCGTGTCCGCGTCTTTCACAATCACATTCCATTCACACTCACACTGTCACAGTTTCAGCGTTTCACTCATTCAATGACAGTGACTGTTTTTAAAAGGATATTTTCTTGCTTCAGTCTCAAAACTTCCTTCTCGAGATCAGACTTTTCTGTTTCCCACGGATGCTCCTTAGTCGCCTCTTTGCGCTCGGTACTCTTGGCCTTCGAGGAAAACTCCTCAAATAGGTTTAAATCTCCAAAAACATCTCCACCTGATAAAGCCATGGGCGCCGCCATCTTTCTCACATAAAGCTAAGCGCATGCGCGGCGCGAAGTTTGGGAGATGGGATTTCCCCAAGTTTGCTAGCTCGTAAGCGTGCATAACCAAGTTTGTTTTGGGTGATGGGTTTTGGCTTTAATAATTCAGTTTTAAGTAAAACTACATGGATAGTGATGGGGTATGAAAACGGCTCACCTTCTTTTGTCCTCTCCCTTAAATTCCTTCAATCTCTTTTTCCCATTTAGTTTGCTATTTTCCTTTATTTCTATTTGGCCTGGGCAGATTTGGAGGGCACTTGCCCCAGTACTAGTAGTACCAGGGCATGTGAGTTACCTCCCTGGTAGTACGTACCTCTATATACGTTACTCTACATACTCCTTATGTTTTTTTCCGTATTTTCATTTTGTTATTACATTCAAGATTAAAACAATAATATACAAATAATTCTTCAAAATACAATTCTTTTTCATCATAACTAAAATAACTTAATGCATAGTCTATGTACAATTAATATATATCTGTATAAAAAATACATGTGGATAACCTGCATTTTGTAGCCCAATTATGATCCTGAATTGTCAAGAGTATGATTATCAGCAAATGGCAAGTGGATTAAACAGTGGGTCGTCGCCATCACAAATCATGAAATTTAATCAAACAATATGCAGCAAGATAAATAGGATGGAACCTTTAAGGGTTTTTTTTTAAAAGAGGGTCTATAAGCTAATTCCTAAAAGTCTGACAAGAAAGAAGAGACTTTCTACCAACTTAAATTCCCAACGATGTCAAATTAGTGCCATTCTGTGGTGGAGGTCACTGCTAGTTATTCTTTATTTCTTCGTTATTGTTTAGTATCAGTCCCTTTCTCTTCCCAGAGACATTTACCCAATTTACCCAATCGTCTCATCTCGACGAGCGCCATCTCACATCATATCGTGTCAAGTTAAATTATAAACAACACCAAACTACATGCAGAGGCGCCCACCCATTATTGACACTTTTTCTCTCTTTTGTAAACTTACTGATTATCAATAAGAAAGCAAGATGGCTGAAAACATTTTCATGTTTGTACCCAACATAATTGGTGAGTTTCATGGCTCAGATTATTTTTAGTGCAGTGTAATTTAACGTGTTTTTGAGGTGAAAGATTTGCGGCAGATGTCATTCATACTCGCAGCCAACATGGCCAAAGCAAAGGCAGTCGGCGTCGCGAGTCGCGCCCGCATGAGGAACGCCACCGACCCCGCTGCTGCTACATGTAGTACTAGCGCCTCTCCATCGATCCCCAAAATATGTTTGACTAGAAATGAACTATGGAGCTCCATTTTGTATTCCTCTAATCATGCTAACATTTTTGATATTCTAAATAGATCAAGGTCTAGTAGTATGGATTACAGAATACAGCCTTTACTACTTTAGGGGGTTCAAAATAGCAACAACAAAAATCGCTTCGCCGCTATGAAGTATGAGCTATGCGGCCTGGACTTAATTCACCGCCTTGCGGCTCTTACGGATACGGGGGTTCAAAATTGAAGAAAAAATTGCCTCATCGCTATGCAGCTCGTGGACGACCCTTAGCAAAGAGCTAGATCTGCGTCATCCGCCCTAGCTTGATTAAAATGTATCTTTATAAGTATGTTAAAACTCAAACTTGTTAGAATACAACTACAAGGATAAGTTTGCTCTTTCAGTTTCATTATTCATACCTAAATTACTAAAGTATAATTTGTAATAAAAGGTTTGATGATTTTAAACATGATAATTGTAATTAGACTTAATTCACCGCCTTGCGGCTCTTACGGATACGGGGGTTCAAAATTGAAGAAAAAATTGCCTCATCGCTATGCAGCTCATGGACGACCCTTAGCAAAGAGCTAGATCTGCGTCATCCGCCCTAGCTTGATTAAAATGTATCTTTATAAGTATGTTAAAACTCAAACTTGTTAGAATACAAGGATAAGTTTGCTCTTTCAGTTTCATTATTCATACCTAAATTACTAAAGCTACAGTCCCATATACGTCCCGGACCGTCCCGGACCATCCCGGACCCCATCCGGGGTGATCCGGGATTCGGTCCGTGTTGACACCGTGTTGGCACCGGGGTGGTCCTGGATGGTCCTGGATGGTCCTGGATGGTCCTGGGCGGTCCGGGAGTCGACCCCGGATGTTTTTGACGGTCAAAAACTGCCGGGGTGGTCCGGGACGGTCCGGGACAAAAGTTTGATCCGGGGTGATCCGTGTAGCCACCGTGCTGGGTCCGGGGTCATCCGTAGTGGCGCCGGGGCGGTCCGTGTTGATCCGTGGCAGTCCGGGAGTGAGTTATTGACCGCCCAGGACCATCCAGGACCATCCAGGACCATCCAGGACCATCCAGGACCACCCCGGTGCCAACACGGTGTCAACACGGACCGAATCCCGGATCACCCCGGATGGGGTCCGGGATGGTCCGGGACGGTCCGGGACGTATATGGGACTGTAGCTTTTAAAGCATCACACTTTTTTTAACAAAACATCCCGGACCATCCCGGATCACCCCAGACCAGGGTCCGGGATGGTCCGGAGTGGTCCGTGCTCGTCCGTGCTGGTCCGGCTTTATATGGGACTGGGGCTTAAAGTATAATTTGTAATAAAAGGTTTGATGATTTTAAACATGATAATTGTAAGCTAATAATACCCTTTATTAATCTTTTTTTTTCAGGGTATTTTCGAATCCTCTTCACGATCTTGTCGCTGTTCTTCATGAGAAGTTGCTACCTGCTAGCTACATTCCTATACCTGCTGGGTTCATTCTTGGATGCATTCGATGGACACTATGCTCGCAAATTCGGGCAGGGTGAGTGTGGGTCATGGGTCAAATAAGAATACCTCTTTCATATTCACTGTCATAGATGGTTGGGTCCAGACATGATGCCGGTACTCTAACTAGTTGGGTTCATTCTTGATGCATGTGATGAACAATGTGCCCTTAAAATGCAAATTGCATTTTTCTGAGAATACCCCCTTTCATATTTACTGCTGAGGAGCGTCTGGGCATGATCCAGATTAAGTCCCCTGCCTATTATTGGGTTCATTCCCAGATTTGATTGACATTATACTGGTACATTGAAATAAGGTGGGTATTGGTTAAATAATATTTTGATACCCTTTCATATTCACCACTAAAGAGGGTTAAGTCCAGGCATGATCCACATTAATTACAAATTGATAACAGGAATGTCATTTGTAATGTTTTGGACATGGAATAGACTTCTTTAAAAACTTTGACAATAATGACAATTGCATTGATAGTAAATGAGAACATTTAAAGAAAAAACAAATCATTATTTAAAATTCAAAATTTATGTTATGGAAATATTATTAAAACCTTAGCATTTCCGTCATCAAGGGATGGTGATTATTTTTTCAGTAGATGATTTTAATCCATTCTTTTATGTTTTGGTTCAGGGACCAAATTTGGTGCTATGCTGGACCAGTTGACCGATCGCTGTGCTACTCTGTGTTTGACCATGGCTCTATGTGTGCTGTATCCAGACTACATGGTCCCTCTGCAGCTGAGTGCAACGCTGGATATTGCAAGCCACTGGCTACATCTTCACAGGTGAGAAGAAAAGGGTCAAGAACAGTTGGGAACAGAGAGTTGTTTAGTACTGGTAAAATGTAAAATACTGAAATTTCCAACAAGGAAATCTTGTTGGTAGTTCAAAAGGAGTTTCTTTATGAGAACAAAAGTGTGATATTTACATTTGTGAGCAGCAACAGTATTCAGATTCCTAAATCATATCCTTTCTGTCACTCTTTTTCCCCACTTCAACGACTTTGTAGATCTGATCTTTTTATCTAGTCTTATTTTCTGCAATCTTTTTATTTGCTATATATTGCCTTGTAATGTTTGTTTTGTTGCGTTCACTCTCCATATTAGTTGTAGAAATAAAACTCATCACTCATCAGCAAATCATATCGTTATTTTGGAGCCAGTAGGGCGTTAACTCATATATACTTTGATACAGAGTTAACGCCCTTCTGGCTCTGAACAGGAAATATTTTATATTAAGGTTATATGAGTGAAAAGAGACACTGAATTACGTTGAGAATACATTATTGAATTTGATATTGATGTCCCTCGTTTCTGCTGTGATGCAAAATCTTGTAGACCAGGAGATTTGAACAAAATACACATCTTTGAAAGCCCCACAGTAAGTGACAAATCACAGACCCTGTAATCTTTGTAAGGTAGCAATTTTATGAAAGTGTCTAACTTTATTTCCTCTTTTCCAATCCTTGTACAGTTCTTTGATGGGAGGCAAGACAAGTCACAAGTTGATTGATCCCTCTGAGAATCCCATCCTAGCTGTATATTATACATCAAGGGTAAGTTCTTGTTTCCTAAAATATGAAAGGATAACTAAGCACTAGTAGATTTAATGACAATAGCAATCATTGAAGATTCCTTTAGAACACGTGTAGGGATTATAGGGATTTGTAGCTGTTGTACCTAAATTTAGGGTTCTCTTTCTTACTTTTTATCTTCAAGGTAACGAGAAGTTCAATGGTAATGCAACGGTCACAAAGGTTTCGTAGCAGTTTATAATGGCATTTGTGACCGAGGCTATAGATTATTCATATAAAAAGCTAGCAGCTGATTTCTATTACCAGTACTGGAGGTTCATTTATTTTCTTTTACATTATTCAACAACATTGTCTTTTGGATAAGATTATAATATTTCTTTTTTTTTTTGCACAGCCACCATGCAAATACACTCTATTGCACTTCAATAACAATTTTAAAATCTGTTAGTGTGGGTACATACACAACAAGTTTATATGAAGGCTTCTGCAAATTTTTGAATTTGCAACCGACCCTAAATTCAGGAGTATCACACAACAATTATGCCACAGTCTTTATTAATTCTTTGGATGTAGTAAATGTTACATCGTAGGAAGACATTTCTTTAATGTACTGAGTGCTAGTAAGCAAGGATTTTTATCATCACCCCTATTCCTGTTCTGCTCTGAATTGAAAGTTGTGTTTTTATTTCCATTTGCAGCCAGTACTATTTGTGATGTGCTCAGGAAATGAGCTCTTCTATTCCATGATGTATCTTCTCTACTTTACTGAAGGACCAATCGGTATGTATACATCAGTCATACGACACAAGCAGGTGTCTTGGTATAGTGGTTCATTCACTTGACTATCAATCAAAGGGTTGAGGGTTCAAATATCAGTCCGGCACTTATGTCCTTTGGCTCCACATTAATCCAAATTTGCCACCCTCCATACAGGTTCAAATGGGTACCTAGCAATTGCCGGGGTAATAATAATTGTAGCCCCCTTAGGAAGAACAGCATTGAAGCTGAAGAGGCTTCCCCTGGTTAAGCAAAATTAATATTATTTATCATCACATGCTCTGGCGGCAACTGCTCCACAATCACTATCCTACACTGAGCAAATGCTTACATCTGACAGTGGACCAGGCACTGCATAATACTTTACCCTTCCCTAAACCTAACCTCAACCCTAACCGTATCTCAACCTTATTTTTGACAAAATCAAACTGGAGCAGTTGTCACTGGGGCATGCATTAGAGCAATTGTAGTTCAACACTTTTCTCTTGTATATTCAGTGTTTTGTCAACAAAAGTATGTCTGAGTGGTGATGTAATTTGTTAGTGAAAATAATACTCCTTATGCTACATGTATATACGGGGTCCAGACAACTCGCCACAAAGACAACGCGCCCCAAGACAACCCGCCACAATACCCTGGACATCCCGCCACAATACCCTGGACAACCCGCCACAATACCCTGGACAACTCGCCACAGCCTTTTCGGACAACTCGCCACACTTTTTCCCATCATGATTTCTAGATCTAAAATGAAATGAAACTGTCATTTTTCATGATTTTCGTGCTTTTATAAACACAGTCATTACAAAGAATAAAGAATAAAGTTGATTTCCCTAATTGTAACAATAATATATATTGAAATGAAATTGTCATTTTTCATGATTTTCGTGCTTTTATAAACAGTCATTAAACAGAATAAAGTTGATTTCCCTTGTAACAATAATATACTTTTGATCTAGAGGTCTATAACAGCTGCATTTTTCTGTCCCAGAATTTTTTTATGGTAGGATACTGGAAGCACTGGCGTACTGATGGGGGGGGGGGGGGGGCAGGTAATATTAGAATGTAAAGATACGCCAAAGATACATAGCAGCATATTCCTACCATTAAAAAGTTTCCTGAGACATGAACTTAAAAATCGTAGTCGTAACTCGTAGTCGTAGTACGCCTGGCTTGGGTTCGTCCAAAATAGATTCTTGTTGCAAGCGCAAGGAAAATCATCTTTATTCTTTAGAACAGCTCTCAAAATACTCACAATTTCCATGTTTCCTGCCATAACTGTGTTTATAAAAGCATGAAAATCATGAAAAATGACAATTTCATCTAAGATGAGGGATTTTAGATCTAGAAATCATGAGGGGAAAAAAGTGTGGCGAGTTGTCCGAAAAGGCTGTGGCGAGTTGTCCAGGGTATTGTGGCGGGTTGTCCAGGGTATTGTGGCGGGATGTCCAGGGTATTGTGGCGGGTTGTCTTGGGGCGGGTTGTCTTTGTGGCGAGTTGTCCGGGATTCGTATATACCTATGTTTCTTTTTCAACGAATTAACAATAAATTTTGAATTGAGACCGTAATGATGATTTAATAATAATTTTGATTGAGTTTGCCCAAATGGTCTTATAGTAAACATATGGTAGGAATATATAGCTACCAGAGTATTGAAACAGAGTATGCATTTTCTACAAGAGTGAGTCTGAGAGCTTAGTTCTACACAACAAAGATCTTATACAGGCCTACTAATCATATTGAAGGTTGAAATAAAAAGTGAATCATCTCTTTCAACCCCAAAGAATCTTGTATATGGCAAGTCCAGGCTAGTTTTTCCCATACCACACAAACCATAACTAAGATTCAGTATATCTAATCATATATGTATGTATCAAACTTAATAGTTTTAATACAGATAATATGGGACCAAATATGAAGTGAAATAATGTATTTTGATGCCAATCAGAAACTCCACAATACAGCGTAACGAATGGAAAACCAAAGTGACCAGGGTTGTCTTTCCTATATCATGTGTGTCATATAGGAGTCATATCTTTTTTATTAACTCACAAAATATTTATTTGTAATGGATCATAATTCTCATCCCTCTCCCTCCTTTGTATTTTTCACACAAAGTCATGACGTCGATGGGGCTCTTCCGTATGATATTCTACATATCGACTCCCATCGCTATCGTGAAAGCCATGATCAGTGGCGTGCATCTCGTTGTCGCATCAAGGAACATGGCTATCATCGACGTGGCAGAGAGGGAAGCCGCTGCTCAGGCTAAAACCCAGTAAGATCCAGTAAAATCCAGTAAAATCCAGGAAGCACACATCTAGAAAGTTGGAGCAAATGTCATTACAGTCAAACCTATCTATAGCGACCGTCCAAGGGAAACACAAAAAGTTGACTTTGTAGACAGGTGGTCTTTGTAGACAGGTTCCTTTAGTACATGTTTCAAGGGAAACTAAAAATGTGGTCTTTGTAGACAGGTGGTCACTAAAGCGGGTTTGACTATATCTATATTATATCAAATACAATGTAATCCTGCTCACTGCTTTGATAATGTTACTATTTAACAATTTATGGGGGAGGGGTATATTTCCTTCTTTTTTTGTTGTTTTTCTTCTTTTTTTAATGGGGGGGGGTCACAAAATGTATCCATTCCAAGTTTTGGGGGGCATTAGGGTAACTGATAGAAAGACACAGTGCCTATACAGATCTCTCTCAAACTGAATACCGGTAGAGGGTAGTTTTTTCATCATTCATCATAGGCTGAGCAAAAAGAAGAACATGCATGACTGATATTCAGTATGTTTGCTTGGCTGACTATGTGTGAATTTGAGGGTATAACAAGATTTATAGTAAATATGATGTATATCTCATTTAGGTCAGTTTAGCAATTATTTGTGCTGGGTGAAATGTACCATGAATGATTGTGAAATATGTGCATGAGGTTTGTGATCTGTTTTAATGAAGCATCAGAAACTGTTAACTTGTTCTACTGGAAATTAGAATGTGCATACGTGTGTAGAGTCTGGACTTTGCAGCATGTCTTTAAACTGAGTTTGTTATTTGGCACTTTGATTGTATACGTTTTCTTTAGATTCCCAATTATAGTTCAGTAGGTCTTTCTGTTTCAATTCCATGGTATTTATTTACTGTATCTCTACATCTATATACCTTTTGCCCTTTGATGGATGTCAAATTTGAACCGACCCTAAATTCAGGAGTATCACAGAACAATTGTGCCACAATCATTATCAAGTTAAAGCTTTTGTAGAAAAAACATTCATCGTAAAAGGAGTAAATAATTAATATCAATCATACTTCTTTTTGTTATTTACATGTAGGATGGAAGATGTTCTTGTATTAACACAGAGTAGTGAATACTTATTATTTTGTTAGAGAGGACAGTGGATTGTATTGACTCAGCTGGCTGGTTTTTGTTTGAAGTGATACGTTATTGTCGAAGTGGCCCAGACACGCAGAGCAACGTGTGCAATGCTTTTTAATTTCAAGGGAAAAGCTCTATATCAAATACCTTTAAATACCTTTTGGTAAACGTATTAATTGTACATGTACTTCATGTTATTTCTTTAGTATTCAAGGCTTTGCTGTATAACTACTGAATAAAGAGGCACTAATTGTACTCCTCTTATTTAATAACTATGACAGGAGCGCATATATGAATATTGCTCAGTAGAATTCAATATAATGATCTTGCAATTACTCAATGTAGGCCTAGGTATCTCAGGCAAATTAGTATCTTGCCAAAGAGGAAATTAAGGGTTTTTGAAAATGCAATTCTGTCATTTAGACAAAGCTTTTTCCTTTAATCATGTATTGTGCTGCACCTTGATATTATAATGCACCTATCATTATTCTAAAGGCTCGATCAGATATGAACCGGTAAATCGTAGCATTTGTTTGTATTACTTATAAAAGAATGGCAGCTGAGAGCAACAAAGGTCTACACATATTCACTGAGCTCTGTGCTATAAGATCAGAAATATGAAACCTATTACACTTTCATTATTTTAAACGAAAAGGAAAAAGAAAACTTACCAGCTCATATCTGAACCAGGCTTAATAGCTGTGTATTGATACTTGATAGACATAGTCTACAAGAAGTGAACACTTTTCTTAGTGTGATGATGTGTTCAGTTTTAAGTTAATATCAGAAGCCAGATTCTAAACATTTATTGTGCAAGGGAAAATTATTTTGCCATTATAAACTGGATTCGCACAGAATAAATACCTTTTATTTGTGCCTGTGCAGATATGACTATATCTATATCTCTACATAAAACTATTACACGTACATCATCGTTATAAAAAAAGTGCCACAGTTTACCAGCTCATATCTGAACAAAGCCCAATAGCTGTGTGTTGATAGACGTGGTTGGCATGAAGTGCAAATTTCCTTAGTGTGACAATATTTTAGTTCTAAGATTAATATCAGGAGCCGTATTCTGAAAACTGACATCTTTTATGTTGAGAAGATTATGTTATTATCATAAAGTGAAAGTGCTCAGAAAAAAGTTGTTATTGGTGCCTGTGCAGATATGTCTATATCTACATCTCAACATGGAACTAACTGTATGCATACACAGCCAGTTTTGCTCAGATATTAACCAACGACTTGCCCTAATTTTGAATATGTTATGGCAATTTACATTGTGTTGCTAACATAATTTCAGCATACCTCCCTACAGTTTTGAGACTGCATTTTGGGGCAGCAAACTTTGTGTCCGGTCAAGATTAATACTATACTTCAATTTTATAGTCATTGAATTGTTAAACATTTATGCAGCACAACAAGATGTTCCCTACTGTACCCAATGACATTTTATAATCTCTTTCCTTTGTACTATTTAATTATTACAATGATTTATTCTTTTGAATCTCCAATATTTATGACTATTTTGCATTTAATTATAAGACCCCATTCCTTTCCACTCACTTCATTTGAAAAGAGCAGGGCTCTATATTTATGTAAACATTTCTTTCAATTACCATTTCCTTTATCCACGATTATTAGGATGACTCGTGTTTTAATTTGTGAAGTTGTGCAATTGTATCTAGAGCTTGGTGGTATATTTTGTGACAAATATCAAATAAACAACTACAATTCAAAAGTATTATATTTCATTTGGCAAGCCATTTATTCAGTGTTCCTTGAAAATATTTCTATCTACAAGTTCATGTTCAAGCTATACACACATTCATTTCTTCTTCGACAAATTCAAAATATAAATATATAAATATGTTGTCACTCTGTATGTACATATTTTACATATTATTGGCCTATTAAAACGCACACATTTATCATAGACATGTAAGAATATTAAAAGAAACTCCTTAAACTATCATGAACATTTACAAATTTGAACAGATGTACTATGTAAATTTGAATACGGTACTTGAATAAGCCAAATAATTGGCCTTTTCATTAAAATATAGTTCCTTTGTTTCGATTGCACAAGGATCTATCCAGATTCCATCTACAACTAGATGAACACAATTGAACAGTTTCAATTCTTTTATGGAAACCATACAAATCAAAAACTTCACAGAAACCCAAGGACAGAGTAATGCAAACTGTTACATCACACAAGAATATCTTCACTTTTTGCAAAAGGTAGCACAAACGGCAACCCCTAACTTTTTATATGGACATAGCCTTTCACACAAACTTATTTCCATTTTTTAATTATTTATCAGCAATGTTGTCTTGCCTTAACTCCAATGCAAAAGTGTCGTGTACGAATGATTGAAACACTAAACTGAAGATGTAAAGATTGTGGATTTGAACTCTGCATGAAATTGATGTCCTTTAACAAGGCATTACCCTACCTTTCCCACTCTCTACCAAGGTAACGTAAATGGGTAGCTGGTACAAACGAATACCTTCTAAACTATAAGCACCAACATCAACAGCCTACCAAAAGCTGGGGTGATCATTGAAATGTGTTCAGCACCTTACATGGTAGAAATGAGCACTACATGGTAAATCCGCCGGTGTTATGAGACCTGTATAGTATCATCATCGTCAACTCGAATTTTTTCCTGATTTATCAATGGGTGTAGATTGTCAATTCAAAAACCCATCTTGGAAGCCTGGCCATCAAAAATATATAAATACCGGTTCATACTTTTACTATGTACACAAACGTTTTGGAGATCCAAATACAGGATTGAGGTAACTGTTCACTACAATGTAGGCTATACAAACATTTAAACCAGATATATATAGTGTCATAAATAACATTCAGGAATGCAATCACAGTGACTATAATGTTACAAAAAATATGTATGGCAATTTCTGAAACTTGCAATGTGAATGATAAATATATATCAGGACTTTTGGCCGAGCTGAATTTCATTTCGTATCATAATGGCACATTTGAAAGGAAAAACATCTCATTAATTTGCTTTGGGGCTGCAATAGGCAGTCAACCCATATCAAAGAAGATATATCAATGAAGATATATCGCCACAAAGAAAAGGTATGTGGAAAGAAAGTATTGCTCATGCATGAACCAAACATTTGTGAACAATTTGTACCACAACTTAGAAACAAAGGGATATAATGATAGCAATATCTCCTACTAAAATATTAAAGTACATCAATTTTCATAGGATAGTACTTTTATAACTGTCTGAATACAAAAGTAAACTTTGTGTATTAGTATAGTGGTAGCCCTATACAATCTATTACATATATTCAAATATAACAGGAATAGTAGATAGCCTTCATCCTCAAATAATTGATGGCATTTGAGTCTTTTTTTAGTCAATGATGAAAGGCCAAGTTGATAAATATTTCAGATGATGTATGGCTCAATATTTTGTGATTTTTTTTGTTCAACTGCAATGAAACTGTACAGAATAGAAACAATTAAGCACTTGCACATGTAAAATGCTAAATATTATGCTAGATTAATTAAGGTTAATAAGCCAGCCCCTTTTCATCACCCCTCCCCCCCCCCCCTCAAAAAAAAACATCTTACACTTTTGAAGTACTGACATTAAAAGTATGAAAACTATTGAAAATTGTACTATACAATTACTCACAATTTTCATAAATGTATCTTGAGATAAAAAAAATAAACTTTAAAACCTAAGCAGTTTTTATAATTCTTTTGATTCCATCCATGTAAAGTACATTGATCAGTTGAGATTGGGATTTGCACTTAATACAAAATAATTATACATATATGTATGCATGTAAGTAGAAATCAATGTAAAATTATAGTTTGATGACACTTTTGTTATTAATCAATGTATTTCTGTAAGAGAGGTACCCATTAACCCAATATTTCAAAATAAAGGTAATGATATTGTACTCCTAATGCAGCTATACTGCGATGTATACAATAAGTAGTTGAATTCAATAGATATATCTATATATATATAAGAAAAGGCTTGTTTCTTATTATTACATATTTTGTGCACATATACGACAAGAAAGACCTAAGTGTACATTCCACCTGTGGAATTTATGAAGCAATGTTGGACGGAACTATGATAAATCTACTGCCGATTTCAGAGAAAAGCACAATTTTAAATAAAACATTTTAAATGATACATATAATTCTTCAATGCACGGCATGACACATGACAAAACAAAACAGAAAGAGCAAAGTTACTTCAAGGTGTAAACGAAAAAATGCGCTGTTCCTCAAATTCAGGTTCTACACTGGACGGTTTTTAACAATAATAGCATTGCACACATACAAATCATAGTCAGCAAACGATTGTTATTATAAATCATTTCTTACAGAGGAAAAAATATGACTGGTGCCAATTTGAGCAGGCAATGCTGCTTCGCTCAGTAGAGATAACAACACCCTGACAGTTCTGTATCACATCTATAACAAAATACAATCTCATGACATGACAAAACATTCTTCCATCCTCCCAAGCATATCTAGAGAAGATTTGAGTACAGTCTCAGGCATTTCAGAATGTGTTCTCTTCTTCATGGCGTGCAGTATATAGGTTATAGGCTTAACCATTACATCATATCTAGGAAAGATTTGAGCACAGTCTCAGACAATGCTCTCGAGTGCTATCTTCTAGTTCCTTTCCCATCGCGGGCATTCCAGAATGTGGCCTCTTCTTTATAGCTTGCAGTATATAGGTATAGGCTTAACCTTTACATCATATCTAGGGAAGATATGAGCACAGTCTCAGAAATGCTCTCTTGAGTGCTATCTTCTTGTTCCTTTTCCCTGCTCAGGCATTCCAGAATGTGACCTCTTCTTCATAGCTTGAAGCATTTAGGTATAGGCTTAACCTTTACATCTCATCTAGGGGAAACTTGAGCACAGTCTCAGAAATGCTCTTTTGAGTGCTATCTTCTTGTTCCTTTCCCAGCTCAGGCATTCCAGAATGTGACCTCTTCTTCATGGCATGCAGCATATAGGTATAGGCTTAACCTTTACATCTCATCTAGGGGAAACTTGGGCACAGTCTCGGACAATGCTCATTGAAATGCCCTATGGTGCTACCTCCTCTTTCCTTTGCCTGCTGGGGCATTTGGTTTGTTCTTATTTACATACTTCATGTACTCTATTTCACCATCTAACGCTTGTAGCTCTTCTCTTAACTTCTGGTTCAGATCCTTCAATGAATCTACAAAGGAAAAGATGAAAATAGAGAGACACATTATATTCTCTCATCAATTACATCACTGTTCAACTATCTTATTACAAAATTCATATATGTTCTTTTAACTCTCAGTTAGACATACATGCCAACTGTTCAGATTAAAGAGGAACATTCCTCTTTTTGGGAGAAGATAATTATCATTTCAATGCAGGTGTTCCTCTTCCTGTACAAATTTGTCTGTAGTATTGAATAGGAGAGTTAGGATTGTTCCTCTTTTTTTTTTAAATAGCATAATTTGTACAGATTTCTGATTTTCAAATGTTGGCATGTATGGTTAGATTCTTTGTTTAAAAGTACTCCCAGCAAACTGCAAATGTCTGGAAATTATAATCACACTTAAAATAATGAATAGTGACAAAGAGATGCGACTAAAGATACTTAAAAATCGTCTCTACCTGTCATTTCAAACTATTAAAATACTAAACAGAGTGTTTCAGTCAACACGATGGCAATGATACCAGATAAATTTCAAGCTGCAGTATAAAGGAAAAAGTGTGTTGTACCAAAATAGAAATAAATAATCAAATTAGTACGTTATCGCAAAGTGTTTTACTGTTAAACAAAAAGAGAATAAGACAATTTATTAGCTTGAAGAAGATCAGGGACCCGTTTCACAAAGCCTTTTTTCAATGAAAAATGACAAAATCAGTGACGAATCTTCTGATAACCAATCAGAAGCAAGGATTTCAGTAGCTTATAACAAAGACTGTCATTTGTCACTGATGACAAGTTTTGTGAAACAGGGCCCTGCAGAATAGCATGCCTGCATAGCTCCCTCCTGACTTACCAGAGTTTGGTCCTTTGTAGTTGATGTCTAAGTTGTTGGTTGCAGCTGCTAACATCTTGTTGCTGCCTTGAGGCTTGTACTTGACTACCGGCGGTGTGACGGCAGGTGTCTTGGGGATGCTGTTGATAGGTACGCTGCTTGCTGCTGTATAGGGAAGTTGGAAGGGAACAAATGTTGTGTATTGTGGGTTATTTATGTGATTTTATTTCAAGGCTGTGTCAGCTGTGAGGTGACAGAGGAACAGGAGTGTTTGAAGGAAAATGAAGCTAGAGTTAGGCCTTTAAAAAAAAGTTGTTGTTTTGCCCTTTAGGTGCCAAAACATGGGTCGGTCGGTCCTGAAAAGCGCTATATAAGAACTAGCTATTATTATTATTATTTTATTTTTTACTCCCTCTTTGTGCTGATATTTCTCAGTTTTGCCGACTGTAGATTCCAAGATTTTTAGGTCGGTCGAAAAGGGCAATACAACAACTTTTTTTTTAGGCCTTATGAGATTACAAACTAAAGTAAAACTGAAAATGCATTTGTAAGATTATCAGTAATCAAAAGAATAATTCAGTTTCTTCATAGCAATGCAAAACCAGTGAAAGGACTAAGAGAAGAGACTGATGAGGAAACAAATCTAACACAAGCAAAATGATTCCAATCCCTATCTAAAGAATTTGAAATGGCCTAGAGAGTACAAAACAGAAACTAATTCCACCTTAAGTTCATCATTATCCAAGTTCATGTTCAAGTTCAAATGTATTGATCATGCACAAAAGAACATGGCATAAAATCATTTTCCAGCTGTTTCTTCAATTTATATAACACTTCCAATTTATAAATACAAAATTAGGAATAAATACAACACACAACTCAACATGAATACAGAATGTTGTAAGCTTTGGTAGAGAAACATAATAACACAAATTACAACCGTAGACATACCAGAAATCTTCAATTCTTAGACAAAGTATAGAATGGTTCAAATACAAATCTTGCCTTGCTACATGAATTTACTTGATCCAAGAAAAGGGACACGTTTGTAGCATGCCCTCTACAGGGGGGCGTTTCACAAAACTTGTCATCAGTGACAAATGAAAGTTTTTGTTATAAGCTACTGAAATCCTTGCTTCTGATTGGTTATCAGCAGATTTGTCACTGATTTTTGTCATTTGTCAGGCTTTGTGAAACGCCCCCCGAGGTGTCACCATCCTTACCTGTAGCCGTCTTACTCGGCTGACTCCCCCCTCCTCCTCCTCCTCCTCCTCCTCCCCCTCCTGTCCCATTCCCCCCTGCGCCAGACCACGCATTTGTCTTCTTCGTCTTGTTGCTGTACCCTGTAGCTGCGGTGTTGGCGGTCGAGACGGGTTTGCTGGGGGGCTTGCGGAGGCTGGCGTTGCTATGGCTACCGCCCACGTTGGCTGTGCCGTTGGGGAGGGATGGGTTCCTGAAGGTGGAAGGAGGGTGCGCCCCGGTCTCCTCGATGGTCTGGAGGTCGTGACGGTTTGCAGGGTCTCCTCTCCAAGGACCAGAGTCTGAGTGGAAGATAAATGGATGGAGGAATGTTTTGATAAATGCTTAATACATGCATCGCTTGTGCATGCATTACTTGTTTGCGATTCTCATACATTGTAGAACTTTAGAAGGAAATATACCTTCATAAGACCATAAATGGAGAATGTAATTGCCATAAACATATCAGTGAAAACTCCCACATTTTCCTATAATTAAACATTTGACATACACAATTTTTACAGATTTCAAGAAATAAAAAGATAGAAAAGAAAGAAAAAAAAAACAAAGACTAGAAGACAGAACTACATTAAAGCGTTCCTATGAGAGTGAGAACATGTTTGAATGCTTCATTCAACACATTGTAAGGCATAAATAAACATCAAGTCAGGCTGAAAATTGCAAACACAAATGTAATACATGCTTTATATATTCCACTTCACACAAAAGTAAATGTAAATATAAGTGCTATGTTTACATCTACCTAAGATAAGAGACAATGTCAAAGTAAGTGAAAGAATTCAGGAAGAGAAAGAGATAATAGTATGACAATTTGAGAGAGGGCACGAGAGAAAGGGGCAAGCCGGATGTATTTATCCTTACCGTTTGTTTGGCCGGTGGAAGGGGCGCTTGGAATGTAGATATCCGCTTTGGTGGACTGCGGTTGGCTGATGACGGAAGGGTTGCTGAGGCTGGACCTGACGGACATGGAGGTATCCCTCTTACTGACAGGTGGTGGAGGAGCCTGCTGGTGGTGGTCCTCATGGAGGGCCCCCATGGAGCCGGTGTAGGAGCCCTGGAGGCTACCTGGAGCTGGGGGAGGGTAGCTCTGGCTGGTATTGGAGACACGGCTCTCACTAAATATGGAGAAAGGTGTATAAGATGACATGAATATTGGAGAATGTCTCAAAGAAATGGGAATACATTTGGAATAAAACAGGTATAATGGAATGACAAACTGCAGTTGTCCAATCATCGACAAGTGCAAATCATCATTTGCATTAAAAGGACAATCGATGATTGACATAGATGAAAAACAAGACAATCAACACCTAAACAAATTTCAAGAAGAATTTGCAATGCACAGGCTATGTAATACTTTGAAAAGGTGATTTCAATGTGAAGAAATACAAATCTGACAACAACAAAAAATAAGAATCTATTCTAAAATTTGCCTTTTCAGATAGAACAATGACAATTATGTGAAAAACAAGGATTGAACTAGGCTTTGTCCGTCGACAACTGTGTCACTTACCCTCCTTTCTTAGACCCTCTATGGGTGGAAGGATGGCTTTGGCCCATGGTGGGATGGGTACTACTCGTCATCCCTGACTGGTTGGTGTGCGCCCTGGGGAAGCTATGGTTGGTAGGAGGGGGGTGGTGGGGAGGCTGGGTGGACACGGAAGGAAATGACCGCTGGGTGGGCGGGGCGTCCCTCTGGGATGGATGCTGCTGTTGAGATGACCGGTAGTTGTCAGGGATACCCTTTAAGCTGTCCACTGGAGGTAGCTCGCCTGACTGCTGTGAAGAAAGTGGAGAAGGAAGATGGATATCCATGTAAGTGCTGCAATGTGTACTTTTTACAGTAAAAGAGGTTTAATTAGTACTCAAACTGCAGCTGCAATAGTATTTAAATGGGGCCAATCACTGAAAGAAAATATGTTTAAAGCACTTAGAGATTCCTGTGGTAAACGCTTTATAAGCACCGTTTTTATAATTATTATTATTTTCATAATGTTAGAAGACATAAAAGTATCTCGATTAGACATTCAAATTGTTGAGGAATAAAGAGCACAGTGGAAAACGATTGTATACCACAGCCGGCACAGAAGTTCACAAGGGGTTAGCTTTTAGTATTGAGTATTGAGTATCCATCACATAGTCTCCCCTCGAGTAAGTCTTAACTTTATTTAGTGTCAAATTGTAGTATTTAGTCTTCCAATATATCTTCACAGAAATAACCTTCTAGGCTCAAAATTAGGAAAATAGGACACAAACATGCAATCTCTTATTACTGAGTTAAATGCTGTCTGTACTAGTTTGGTCAGGGGGATTTGACCTCCCTGCAAGGTCACTGACAGGTGGTTATCTCATCAAATCAGCTCTCAATCAACATAAGAGAAAGGGAACCATGGGGACCAACAGGCACTGATTACATGTAGGCATTGTTTGCTATATAGAGGGCGCAAGTAGCTATAAGTAGTGCAGTGGGGCTTTAAGACTTACCAGTCTCCATGGGCTACCATCAGACCGTCTCCTATCCAGTGAGCTCTGGTGCGTATTAAGACCATTAGACTGGCCTTGGGGTGAGCGCTGCTGGGTCTTCAGGGGAGGTGACTGGTGCTGTAGCTGGCCCAGTGGTGAGGGCTGGTTGTTGCCCCGCATACCGATGGACTGGCCGGAGGACGTCCTGGAGTTGAAGGTGCTGGGCAGGGAGTAAGGCGATGTAGTGAACACCCTGTGGGGAAGAGAAAATAGGGTTAATTGGCAAAGTGAATGCAATTCACTATTTGAATTTATTCAATGTTTTTTAAAAATCCAATATAATATCAGTAGTCCGGCGTTGCCTTTGTGCAGAAATTAACTAATGTGTTCTCCTTATTTAGATTATTTAGGACATATACCTCTCACAAACACAAAAGATAACAGTTTTAAGAATATCACCCCAGATTTGTAAACAAAAATGATGACATTATAACAATCTAAAAAGTTGATGAATAACAGGCAAACATTCGCACAAAAACAAACCAACCCTGTCCTTTATGTGGCTACATGTTCTACACCTAGAACAAGTTATCATAGCTATGCACATCAAGCACAATTTTACTTGTTAAGTTTTCTATCAAAAGCTTCATAAAAAAGATTTATTTAACGAAAAGATCTAGTCAATTTTTTCTTTCTCATAGGGGTTACATATCTTTATCTTTGTTTAGACGACAAATGCTATTCAAGCACATCTTTCTTGAAGAGTGAATAATTATTTTACCGTTCAAGCTCTTCAAGTTTCTTGAGTAGTCTATCGTTCTCTCTGGCCACCGAGTTCTGATCTCTTCTTGATTTCTCCTTGACCGAATGGAGGTCAGAGTTCTCTGATCTCAACGTCTCATTCTCTACCATGTACTCCTGGAGCATCTCATACAAGCTGTTATCAGCCGCTGACTTGGGTCTGTAGTGAAGATATGAAGAGAAAAGTGATGAGCAAAAGTATGGTGATGGAGGGGGGGGGGGGGGAGTGGATGAGTATAGTCATCATCATTATTATCACAATCACCACTTGCCATCATCAGCATAATCAACATCACCATCATCACATCACCACTACCGGTTATCATCACTATCACCACCACCACCATCATGTTCATCACCATCATCATCATCATCATCATCATCGTTGTCATCGCCATCGTCATCATCATCATCATCATCATCATCACAATGCTGACTTGGCAGGATGACGGGAAAATAAAAGTAATAATGTTGATAAGGATGATGATGATGATGATTTTCTTGATCATGATTATAGAAATCATGATTGAAATAAGGTGCTGAATCAATAAAGAGTTATAAAGGCTATAGCACCATAAAATGTACACATTATCATATTAATAATGATAGTGGACTACAATACCAACTAAATTTCTCTGGTTTGCAAAGAATATCCCTATGTTACCATGTTAAATCCACCTCCACCACTTGTCTATTAAACATCACAAGCACTCACTGAGTATTTGAATCCCTCTGCCCTGGTGCAGGTTCCTTCTGCCCTCCACCTCGGCCTCCTCCTCCTCCTCCTCCTCCTCCTCTTCCCCTCGAGCCCTCCACCGGAGCCTCCATCCTCTCTACCCTGGGCTCCTCCACCATCATCCTCCCATTGGGTACCGGTGTCAGATCCCCATCGTTCAAGGACTCCTCCCTGCTGACGATGGCTTGGGGTTGATGCTGCTGTTGGTTATTATTATTAGCTCCTTGCAGGGGCCTGATGGAGGGCTGGGCGGTGCCAGGGAATTCTAGGCGTTGGCGCAGGTACTGGTTTTCGGATCGCAGTAGACGCACCTCCCGTTTGAGGCTTGTGATGAGTTTTTCTCTGGGATCCTGCAGGCAAGCAACAAATTAATCATCGTCTTCTGTATAAGTTATTTTTTCACATTTTTGTTTGAAGGAACTGCAGTCACCTTATATATATCTCTTGATAGCCAAAAGTGTGTTAACTCTATGTAAAGGTATTTAAGGTGCCACTTTCAGGCTCATAATTGATACTTACATATGCATACTCTTTAAAATTCTGAATGGCCGGATCGCCACAAACACATAAAACAAGTGATGAACACAAAATTTTCTATTGCAGCATAACATTTTTCAACTCTGGGTTGAGACATACGTATTGATATAAATCAAGTCTCATAGTAAACATATTTGATCCATTAGACTAAACTCATCCACAAAGTATTTTGTAATTACAATGCAAATTAATGAAATACATCAACTAGGTTTATGGCAAAATACACTCTATCCTAATCTGTAAATATTATTTCATTTTTAAAGCCCCACTGCACTATTTATAGCTACTTACGCCCTCTATATAGCAAACAATGCCTAATCGGTGACCCTTGGTCCCCCATGACCCTCTTTTTCTTATGTTAACTGAGAGCTTATTTGATGAGATAACCACCTGTCAGTGACCATGCAGGGAGGTCTAATCCCTCCTGGCCAAACTAGTGCAGTTGGGTTTTAAATGAAGGAGTCCACGAAAGTATACAATTTTTCTCTTTCTAATCTTCTACTGATTAATATATTAGTTTCTTACCATTCTAATGACAGGCTTGTTCTTGATCCTGCGTGCCCTGACTGCATATCTTAATGTATTGATGGACTCGGACAGGCAGTATGAGGATGGTGATATGCAGGCAATCTAAACACAGAAACAAAAATATTTTCTCTTTAACATTGATGAATAGAAGCAATGAATCAAATGAAAAGCAAAGAACAAAGCAAAGAACCGAACTAAATAATGCCATATATATATTGTATATACATGCATATTCATTTGGATGACCTTTAATCTGTTTCTATACCTTTAATTTTCAAAACTTAACGGTTTTCCATAAAGTTATGTTATTCACAATACTTGCTATTATCAATAATAATACAAAATTATGACACTACTTGGACTCAGCATTAAAGACATTTAATTTGTTTTTCTTTTCAAAAAATTAAAGCACATTATTCAACATGTGTCCAGGGCAAATACAATTTTAAGGATATGAATTAAAGTCTATTTATTTATTCATCTATCTATATACCTATCTATTTGTCTATTTACCTATTTGTCTATTCATTTACTCATTTATTTATTTATGTATTTATCATCATGGCCAACAGAATACTTCTGGATAAACTTCCTTTTTATTTAAATCCCTGCGTAGTACTACTCACCATGAGTGTAATACCTGTACCGCCTAAGCTGTCAGCTAATAGCTTGGTGAGTTTGCTGTCCCGGTATGGAATGTGACCTGATCGCTTCCTATTATCGCTCAATGATGAGATGCAATTACCTGAAAACACAAGCAATTAAACAGAATAATACTAGGAGGTGATTACTTCTGTGTAGTCATAGTGTTACACAGGAAGAGACAATGTTCAAAGATAAAAATGAGTAAGTCACCTAAAGCCATCGGTCCTCTGGTTGCTTACTAACAAGCATTTGCTTTCTTAGCAGTCAGGAAAAATAACCACCACCACCACCACCTGACCACCACCACCACTTAACATGAGTACATTGTGACAGAAAATAAATTTCTAGTTGCAAAATCTGATCCAAAAAAAAAGCAATGAATAAGTTACAATCTTTAATTTTCATTCAACTTCATCACTTTCCTTTGATAACATTTCACTTAAATTCATTGATTTAATTAGCATAGAAATTAAATACCCGGTATATTATGATATGGATACCATTGTATAAGGGAATACACAAAAGTTTGTAACAAACAGGTAATAAAACAGAAAACAAAATTTTATACCCTTCAAAACCCACATTTTCTTACCAACATCCACTTGAAATAAACCTTCATAGTACCTTAATTATTATAGAAATGTTAATCAGGTATAAATGTTATCTTCCTATATTAAGGTGCTGTATACTATTAAACGCCTCACTACCGAAATGGGTCTATATGTTGTCATCTCCCCCTCTTATAAAACCTTTTATTTCTTTTGTGCGGCAAGTCAGATAGTACAGTGTCACTATTCAGAAACTAGGGGGTATTCTACCTAAAGACACCAGCCTCCAATGAATGATATACATATTTCACAGTTCACTTAACAATACAGCTCTGATTCTTTCCCTGACTCTTTCTGACTGTTCAATACTTTATAAAGTCTTTGTTAACCAGTCCCATTCACAGTAATGCAATTGTTGAGGATTATATAAAACTATTTTCTACTTCTGTGTGGAAAGTCAGATAGCACTGTCACCATTCAGAAACTAGGGGTATTCTACCTGAAGATAGTAAGATACCAGCTAACAATAAATGAAATATATATTTCGCAGTTCACTGAACATGATTGACTGCATGTACTGCCTCCAGGTATACAGCTTTCATTCTATCTTGTCTCTTTCTGACTGTTCAATACTTTAACAAATGTCTTTGTTAACCAGTCCCCATTCACAGGGATGCCATTGTTGAAGATTTCTATACTGCCCATTTCCTTTCTAAAAATATAATCCATCACAATTCTGATTCCTTTTAATCCTATAAGATAATAAATAGTAATGGCTATTAGAGCGTATGAATATAAGTGTTGACTGGGAAGTGGTCATGACAACAAAGTAACATCGTTAAACGCCAGCTTTCAAATACCAGTAGTTAGAGAGAACTCTACAAGTAGCAAAACAGGAGAAAATGAATGTATGTTTAGTTTTATCAAAGTAAATCATTTTCCTTGCCATATTTCAGGTTAACAGGTGAATATATGATATCTTATTCACCTTCCCACTACATCCTTCATGCAAAAAATACAATATTCCATTCTGAGAGAGAGAGAGTACACTTATTTCTAAATTTTCTTTACCATGGGTGCGTGAGTTTTTACTTGAAAAGGAAACATTTGGTACAAGAACACCTAATAGTCCACTATGTAAGAGATATTCATGTATCTGTTATTTTGTTTTCTGACAGACTCTAATAAGTTCTATCATCGTGAGCATAATTTATAGTTGAAGGGGAAGTCTACCCTAATATTTAGTTGGTTTTAATAAAAGTAGAAAAATGAGACAAACACACCTTCCAAAAATTATGACTTTCTTATTTCTAATCTGGGTTTTCTCAAACTCTCACTGACCTGTTTCTCTCATTTTCTTGCTTCTATTATAAAAGCGGGACTGCACTACTTGTAGCTACATTTAATTGAGCCCTCTATATAGCTAACAATGCCTAAGTGGTAACCGTTGGTTCCCCATGATCCCCTTTTTCTTATGTTAATTGAGAGCTGATTTGATGAGATAACCACTTGTCAGTGACCACGCAGGGAGGTCTAATCCCTCCTGGCCAAACTAGTGCAGATAGGCTTTGAAACCAAATTGAATTTGGAGTAGACTTGCCCTTTAAACATCATTTCATGAACACAAAGAATACATTTAACGTATAACTCACCTAACGTGAGAAGACTCTTGTTGATGTTGGTGGTTTCTGAGAGGAGTTCGGAGGAGGAGCCCAGCTCCTTAACCTTCTCACTGCCGGCCAGATCCACGAAGCTTAGCTTGCCATGCTTGGTGATGTACAGGTCATTATCATCAGGGTCCGGCTGATAGAATAACGGACAAGAAGAAGAGGAAACATAAATTTTTATTAATAATAACAACAATAACATTCCTTTCTTGTATAAAGCATATCATGTTATAAGTCCATATTCCACTTCGAAAGAGCTTTGGAAATTATTGCCCTAGCTTTAGCTCCAGCAGCAGTTATCAGCGTACAGATATATCACTAGATAGTGACATAGTATCTCTAGATGATTTAATGACAATAATGCAGTTATTTCCTTCATTTTCTCATTATCAAGCCTATTTTGTAACCATTCTAATACTTCCAGTGTATACATCATGGTATATGAACGAATTATGACTAACCATCCTTTCATTCATTATATTCCATTTGAATTTTGAATGTGTATCTTAAAACCTTCCATCAATGACAACTTCAAGGGAATTCATTTTAATAATACACAACTACAATTCGTTATATTCCATTTGAATTTTGAACGCTAATCATAAAACCTTCCATCAATGACAACTTCAAAGGAATTCAATTCAATAATACACAATTACAATATATTATATTCCATTTTAATTTTGAATGCTTATCATAAAACCTTCCATCAATGACAGCTTCAAAGGAATTCAATTCAATAATACACAATTATAATCTGACAGATCAATTTATATCCCTTGCTTGGTAAAAAGGATAGGCCTGTAATTCTATCTATGTTATGGAATCAGCCCTGTTCAAATCTTCTCAAACTCCATCTACAAACTCACTCTAGAGAATTGTATGTACTCAGGGACCAAATTAGATATCTTTTTTTCTATGTACATGTATGTATGTCAAACATTAATCAAACATCTATAACAAAAAAAAAATGTTTTTACCAGTTAAAGGAGTTAAAGTAGTTTTAAAAGGAAAGCAGAAAAATTAAAACTTCATGAATCTTATTAATTACAGTACTTTTTCCTATTCTAGACATTATATAAAAACTGATGAGGGTGTGTTATATAAACTTAGAAGATGGAAGTCATCCTTTAAAAATAGTGCACTCTACATGACCAAACTGTTTGCGGATTGGACAATATTATGCGATACCAGGGAGTATTCACCACAATAACCACACTTTACTTTATAAATCACCTTAGATGGATTGATAATACTCACCAATTCAGAGTCTAAAGAGATGGACAAGATGGTGTGACTTCTACTGGAATGCTCATTTACATTGTTTGTTGCTATTGCCTTCTGACTTAAACCTGGGAAAGGAAGGAGGAATATTAATGTGAGAGCAAGAATGTGACAGAGAGAGAGAGAGAAGGAGAGAGACACAGAGAGTCAGAGAGAGATAGAGAGGTGGATATATAGGGGAGGTTGGGGAGAGAGAGAGAGAGATAGAGAGATAGAGAGTGAGAGAGAGAGAGAGACAGAAGGAGAATTTGAATGTCCGATAGAAATTTAGAATGAATGGAGATAAAAGAAAGCAATAAGTTACGGCATAGAAGAATGCAAAGCAAGAAAGACGAAGGAATGAAATGAGATTAACATCAAAAACAAAATATAAAAAGAATGTATTCCATTTAAGTGTGAATTCGTTGATATTCATATTCTTTAGAGTAAATTAATCATTAAATTGAACAGATTTAGGGTCATAACAAGTATTCAAAAATGTGTTGAAACCTGGCAGTTTATCGAAAATTCAAAACGCCAGATATAAAACAGTAAGATCATCTTTTCTTACATTTCCCTTGCAGTGGTATATCGAGTATTAAAGTATTGTTTTATGATATCTTTAACTCCAAACAGGTTCTATAAAATGGCGGTGTTCTTACCTTCCTCAAGTACTGCTATCATATCATCTAGTGTTTCACATTCCATGGTGAAAAGATTCTCAACGTAGAACCCTTTATCCTTGGACCACCTCACTGGTAAAGAGTCTTTACCCGTTAGATTCAGAAGGTCTTTAACCTATCAAAATATTATGAGAAAAGGAAATAGATTAGTTATGTCATGCATAAAATGAATTGAATACAAATCTTAGTCTTTAAATATCACATTGCACACATTATTAAAGATAAGGTAAATAAATGTTGTGAGATCAATCCTGTTCTTTGAGCTTGAAGTATATATATTCTTATCAAATTAGGAACTTGTTCCAACACCAGGGGAGTGTTTCACAAAGAATAAGATTGACTCTAACTTAGACTTAATTATGGCAGACCGTTCATGCCACCGTTTGCTCTCACCATTATGATCTATAGATTATATTTTTCCTTCAATAATGAATTATCAAAATATGTAAATTCTGTAGATTAATTTTGTGACCATGCTTTGTATGTCCTTTGAGAGACCAATGCCAGTAAATGGTAAGAGCAAACAGTGGCATGAACGGCCTGCTATAATAAAGTCCAACTTAAAGTCAATCTTAGTCTTTGTGAAATCACTGTTACCGGTATACAGGTACATGTCCCGGTGAGTTAGAAATACAATGACAATTACAATGATCATTCAGTTTAGAAATATACAGTAGGTAGTACAGTTGTATAATCTTGCCTCTAGTACACTGTACATGTGCATGTACATGGACATATCTATAAACTTTATGTTTTACCAATTAACGTGCATCTCGTCAAGTAAATTACATGTACTTCGAAAATGATGAAAATGGCAACAGAGAGAAACCCACTGTATGAGTTAATGGCCATATAAATGTTCAGTTTCAAAAATCAATAGAAGTGCACACAATGGTCATTTGTGCTCATCTACATAATAATGTATGAGCTCTAAAAGTTGATTTATCATAGGGCTGAGCATGACAAAACTATCCCATGGGACACATTCTCACCATGGTTACTAATATAAACAAATAACCGAGAGACCTACTTCTAGTGACAAGTAGGATACAGAGGTCACTAAAACAAGAGATATGTGCCTGTTTATTTTGATATATATATATGTAACATACCGTATACAATATTCAACCATGTACATGTTTGTTCATGTACTAGGCATTTCGATAGACATGATAAGATAAAAACTATTGTGCTTAATGTAAAAGATAAAATTGAAGACATACTGTTCTTATCTCATTATAGATAATCTTCTCTGAGGCAATTGATCTTCTGGGGAAAGAGTTGGAATCTTACAAAATACTACACATTGTGACAATTACATTTGTACACAGATAGTGTACTTAAATTTGATAAGGGAATACAGATGATACATCATTGGCAATAAAAAAAAATACTTAGATTTGTGAGTTAAAGTGTTCCTTTTTTCCCAGCGTTTCCTACTTTTCCCTTTTATTCATGTCTTTCTGGGTTTTTTTTTTCCATATTTTTATTTTCATTCTCATAACTTCCAATTCTCCATTTGATCCTTCTTTTCCCTTTTCTCCGCAGGTCTTCCACCAGTTTCTTGTTAATTATCTAATCTTTTCTTCTTTAAAAGACAAACCGTCCACTGGGGATACATAAATTTGTAAGTCTTCATCATTTCTGTAAATGTGAATCTGCTTGTTTACATACTGTACAGAATGTCAAAGAAACTTACCATTGATGGTAACTACCATGGAAACCTTGATTTTGATTGGCTGTTGAGCCCTGTTACCATGGTAGTGCCATTGATGGCACAGTTCCCATCAATGGTAAGTTTTATGCAACAGGGCCCGAAAGAGATGGACAGTGGTAATTAAAGCTGCTTAGAGTGTAAACCTTGGTGCAAACACAGACCAATTTCCTGGACTACATGTAGGATCTCAGAGTGTTGACACAGACAGTTACATATGTACAATGAATGGAAGATGGACAATTAGGCATTTAGTGAGGATTAACTAGCACTCCATGCACCAGTGAAATTGTAAGCACCAGCTGCATACCTGTACATGTAATGATACTGTTGCATAAAATAGTTTATATACCATTTTATGCAACAGTAGTAGTTTATTCTAATGCAAAATCATGAACTGCTACTTTGCAGCACGTCTCTTTACTACACACTTGAATAAATATGTGATGATATTATTCAAATTCAACAATTAAAAATAACAAACTCTTTTAAAATCTCTTACCCCTGCAGAAAAGTACAAAGAGGGAAAGTCCATGTATTTGGTTTTAGTATTCATTAGTCTATTAGGCTATTTACAAGTAACATATTTGTGCAGAGTAGACACCTTTGATTCTTTAAGTACACACTTGAGAATTGTGTCTGGTAGTTGATAAGTTTGCTTAACAAATAGACATACTAGCTCTAATACCGTGCACAAATAAGAAGAGATTCTCAAGTAAACTACTACACGTGTATATCATTCATTGGCACATGTATTTACAATTGAAAGGAAAGCTCCTTCTTCTTTTCTTTTTTCCTTTCCTTCTCAGATCATCCCCTTCTACATGTAACTATGTGCCATCACTGTGAAGTAAACAATATTACAAATAAATGGCATGGAATTGTAAATTTATTAGATTTCAGAGTCGGAAGTTTTTACTGAAATCATTGAAGAAGAGATGCACTTGATAAGTTGATATCCAATATCCAATCTAAAGATATTAATTGGTTTTGAGTTTTGAATGATTTTTAAAAATGATTTTAAGACAGTAAAATCTAAAAAGTCAAAGTAATTTACCATAATTTATATACCTCTTATCCTCATACAACTGTTCTTTCTCTATCTCACAGAATGAAAATAATTGTGTGGGTTATAAAACAACATGACAATGTCATACCTGCCAACATTTGAAAATGAGAATTAAGAATTTTTAGCATAGTACTGTATGTCTTCGAAAATAAGAAATCTGTACCCTTAACAGGCATTCGCACATGCAGCGGCAGTGTAACTGGCAATACGCGGTAAATCTGTGCAAAAAAGCGAATACAAATTCACTGCTCAATCATGCAGCCCTTCAACGCACACAATACATGAACTCTCACATCGCGGCATTTGATAAAACGAGCTTAATTCGGCTTAAGCAACAACAACAACAACAAGAAGTCAACAAACAAAAAAATTGAAATTTTGAAAATCCGGAATCTCCCGCATTTTGGGGTCCTAAAAATCCAGAAAAACGGGATATTCCGGATTATTCGGGAGGGTTGGCAGGTATGCAATGTCAAAGAAATTGCCACAGCATTTTCTTTCTTGTGTACTTATTGTGAAAAAAAGCATTAGGGTACTACAGGTGTAGAAATCATGTACATACATCTTTTAGATCATGCATTGCATTGCTGCATAGCAAGAAAACTAATCTCTTAACTAGAAAAGAACGGTCTTTGTTTCCACAACACACAGAAGTACTTATAAAAACAGACTATCAACTTCACTGTTTCAATAGGAACACAACAATGCTCCATCCCTTTGTAGGGGGTCTATTCATTCAGACCATACACTCCACGCCTTTGAAATCAAAAGTTTCCTTTCTTTGGTGGTGTACAGGAGCATGGATGCAGGCACAAATCACAGTCAATTAGGCGTAATTTAAAGCCAGGGTAGAACAGTGTGGTACATGTAGTTGTTTGATGGCTCCATGACAACCTTAATAGTTTGATTCCTGTGGCTTCAACATTCAAAAACTCAAATTCAAGATTTATAGTAAAATGAGAGGTCTGCTATGATTTGTTTCAAACCTTAAGTATAAGCATTGGCATTTCCCTTAATATAAAGGCTTCCTTCTCTCCCTCCCTCTCTCTCTCTCTCTCTCTCTCTCTCTCTCTCTCTCTCTCTCTCTCTGTTCCCCCTTCTTCCTCCCACCCTCTATCCATTTCTACCTTTTGTAGAGGGGGAGGGGGTTCACAAGAGTCCCTTGACATACATGAACTTAAATTCCATAGATACATCAATATATCATTACACCTCAATATCCTAACTTTCAACAAAATCCCATTAAAAGCATGTGGTGTTCTCTACTATAACATTAGTCTATCTTCTCAAACTCTTTCCCAGCTTTTCTAAAGGTGTCTTGTTTCTTTGATAGAGAATATACTACTGTCTTACCTGTTCATTGTAGATCTCTAAGTATGATGTTTTGATGAAGAAAGAAGCCTTCGTTCTGAGTCTGATCATATCAAAGAGGTAGACTAGAGAGTGTTGGATCAAACCCCATGCACTCGTATTCTGATAACGTTGCCCATCCTGAATATATCAACAATAATGTGGAATATTAATGAATATATGTAAAAACAAATTAATGACATTATTTTTTAGCTCTTGTTGCAGAAAGGAAATTGGAATGAAAGTTATTGAAAATTGTCTCACAATGTTCAGCTTTCATCAAAAGAATCGTGAGTAGCATTATTACGATTTTCTGATGTTCCCTCCACGGACTAAATTCAACAAAAACAATGAAACTACAAATGGGCTTTTAAGTGTAAGTGGTGAAATAAACATATAAAGTACATGTACAGTGTACATGTATATACACTTACTGTCTGTAGGGTATATAAGCCTGGTATGATGACAACACGAAGCTGATGATGAAGTAAACATAACACTGGAATATGTGGGATATTTATTCTTCACTGAAATAAAATGTCAAATCGACTTATAAAACACTGACAATATCCTTGATGTTTGTACATATATCTGAAGAATGTATGTCATAAAGCTCAGTTTTATTTGGGGCCCTCAGTTAATCATTATCATAGAAACTTAATAAAAACTCTATCCCACCGATTTCAGTGGCCCTGTGATGGTGAACGTCTTTCCGGACCCTGTCTGGCCATAGGCGAAGGCTGTGCAGTTGTAGCCTTCGAGGGCCATGTCAACAAGCTTCTTCATGCCACACTCCTCCAGGACGTCCTGCTGTGTAGCTTCCCCATCAAAGACATGGTTGAAGGTGAACTGTTTGTTTTTATCTGCTTCCACCTTCAAAGATACCATAGAAAAGTACAGTCAAACCTGTCAGCAACCACCCAAGAGAAACACAAAAAGTGGTCTTCGTACACAGGTTTCTTTAGTACATGTTTCAATGAGAACCATTTTCAAGGGAAACAAAAAATGTGGGCCTTGTTGACTGTACTACTACATGTACATGTATAATGTGGTTATTTATCTTCAAGAATGATACCTTAGCAACAACGACAAGACCGACACCAGACAGTATACAGACCGAACAAAACATTACATTACTGCCCATGGCAAAGGACCGGTTAGTGTGGAGTTGGTTTGGCAGTGTGACTGAGGTACTACTAACTCTAAAAATAAAGGCCTATTAATTTCCTTCTCAGAAGATATAATTTTTTTTTAAAGAGATGTAATATACATGCTGTCAAAATATTCTGAAAGAATTCAGCTGAAAGATCAAACCAGCTACAATCTCCACTCAAAAATGTAATATCTGCGGCATGAATACAAGAACTGTGATCGCCTAAACATATCCAAACATTGACAAACAACACTAAAGTAAACACTTTTAATAAGCTTCATTATACAAAAATATAAAATATAAAGAACCTGAATAATCATTGTGTTCCAGGTACCGGTAATCTACAAATGTACACATGTATTTTTAAATGCTCAGAAAATTAATAGGAAATTAAATTAAAAATTCAATTCACTGCCATGTTAAATTTCAAAAATTCAGATAAATCAAATTTGATTCTCATTGCCCACAAACTCCAAGCACAAATATCAATTAGAGTAAGGCTTTAACATCATAAATTAGTGCTTCCACTTTCATTTAAACTACTATGTACATGTAGTACACAAAAGAACCTGCAGAAAATTAGGTCTTTAAAAAAGTGGTGGTCGAGACTACGTTTTAATTTAGCACACTGTTCCTAATAAATGCCATGATAGATTCAAACAAATGCAGGACACCAGGACATCTTTAGTTCTGCATCCAGAGCAGATGTTACAATTATGGTTCCACATAAAACATATAATACAATATGATAAGGAACTAGAGAAGGCAAGGATTTCAAATAATTATTTGCTCATGAAAAATTAAGTGTTTATACACATATAAATATAAATGTATCTGAAGGTTAACAATGGTAAACTAAACTCTTTGAATTCATTGCAATGCATGTAGGCCAACATCATTACATATTCTCTCATTCCATGCCCACTGGAGAAACAGCCAGCACAAATATATTTCATGAGCATCTCCTTATTGAATTTGATTCAATATGGCTTGGATAATTTCTTTGCAGGCAGTGCTGTGATCTAATTATTTCAAATAATTTGATTTTCTGACTTTTCAGCCTTCTACTCACATTTGTAGCATGCACTTACCAATAGACTTTGCGGGTTTTGTACAAGGACCACATTGCGATCTCCCCTCTTGGTCTCCTGATCACTAAGAGGCCGTACTCTGTCAAAATAGCAACAAAGTGTGGGTAATCAAAAGTGCATACATGTATATTTCTTTTTACTTTCTTAAGCAGTATTATCCCCTTCTGGTATACCACATTTCTGAACAATTATTAATTGAACTTTGAGGTGTCAGTTTCATAGATTTTATCCTTTGTTTCATTGTTAAATTCTAAGAAATGTCTTCTATGGGTACACTGTACTTAACAATGCAAATAGGTTTTGTTTATTGAATCATTGTCGTTTTTATTTGTTTTGTTATCTTTTTTTCAGGAAGAAAATTGATCCACTCTAATTTCAAACAAAGTGCACAAATTTTCTCATTCTGAAATATTGAATTAAAAAAACATAGTCTCTCTCTATCAGATAAAATATAATGATAATTCAAATAAAAAGAAAAGAAGGAAATAATTTATATTTCAATACAAATACTCCCTAAAAGGCTAATGAACACATTGGCCTATCAAAGTATACATGTACCATGGCATAGAAGGAGCATAATTCCATTACAAATTTATCACTTGATTGCCAACTTCCTGCTGATGAAAACCTACTCTTTGGTATCGATGAAAGTCATCAATAAATCAACATTTTTTGTCTGTGCCATGTTTGATGTCAAACTTGTGTTTATATGTTGATGGGCAAATTGCTCCCATTTCTGTAATTGCAAGACTGTTTAATAGCAAGTCATTTCCACCATGACAAATGCAAGTTCAGTATCGAATGGCTTCATTATTACGCCAAGTTTATATTTCCCCCCAAATCAAACAAATAAATAAAAAAGGTATCTATCTGTCCATCTATCGTGCATGAAGCAATTAAAATGAAATTCACCCATCACACCGCCAGGTGATACTTCTCATTCATTCCCCACGATCTAGCTTCTATTTAGGGAAGCGATCAATCACCGCTTCACACCGAGCAGCTGAAAATCAGCAAGATTTGCATTGTGCAACTCTACTGGCCTTGAAAGATCCTTGCTGACAATCAAACCACCTGAGAAAGACATCTTCATGATTTCACTGAAATGACTTCTGCCTTTAGCTTTTCTAACTTTTCTACTCCAATTTTTTAATCTTTTTTTCATCTCTTTTTTTTTTGTCACACAGGATTATTTTTAGCTCCGATACGAGAATCGTCGCTCCTTTGAGTGCTGAGAAGTCTGAAGCATTAAAAGTGCAAGAATCAATCAATTTGAAAACTGTTGTTCACTTTCACCGTTTCACAACAAGTAATAAACAGATAAAAAAATAGATCTACAATGTACACTCGTGTCTATACACATACTATATTTATACTCTATGCACATTGTACATTGCAAGTTTGAAATTGACTTACCTTACAACCACACTGACATTTGCACTACCCCCATCTTCTATCTCTCCATCTTCAAGCTGTGAATCAGATGCTGATACTAATGTACTCCTGTTAGTAAAAAATAAAACAGATGGAAATACATGTAATTTTAATAAAAATGTGGTTTTAAAAAATTACTGAATTGCTTTATTTATATTTATGTACATTTTTTTTTGGGGGGGAGGGCTTGAATCAAAACAATTTGTTTTATTTACACAACATATTCATGTACAGGTGAACCTCAAGACTTACAGTAGGTCTAGCCTAGATATTTTTTAATGTTTTTCTTTTTTTCTCCCCTACCCCCCCCCCCACCCCTCCTTTCTTTCTTTCTCTCTCTCTCTCTCTCTCTCTCTATCTCTTCGTTTCCATAATTTCTGTTAAAAGTTTTCCTTCTCCTCTTGTTAAATATATCAAGAAAAACAGTTATATAACATTCTTTGTGAGTAGATGAATTACATTATGGGTCCATGCTTTGATCAGTCTCTGCAAATTTGTAATTACCGGTAATTAAACAAACAAAAATGATCGAGGGCAGATACACTTGTTGCAAATCCAACCGTCAGGTTAACTGGTCAACATGAAAGAAAGTCCTTGCTCGCACAAGCCCTGCAGTAGTAATGGTGTACAAAATAGCAATCAACATTTCATAGCTCCGTTTCCTTTGGTTACAATTGAGATTTACAACCGACTTGTACAGGCTAAACACAATAAGTTGATCTGCTTCAGCAATTTAAATGAAAATGTACATGTACGCTTGCTATAAACAATCCTTTTGAATTCTTTTGTGAAATGGACTGCAGTTTGATGAATAGGACCTGTTAACTATCCTTCAAATCCCTTCTCATATTATGGCTATTGAAAGAGGGACTGGTAATTCATCCGGATTGCTTTGGGCTGAATTACACTGATATTAGGGAGACAGAAACTTGAAGAAGCCATACAACAGTGTGTTTATTCATTGCCCTAAGTATTGGAGGGTAGGAGTGGGGAGAAAAAAATTAGCACAACTAAACTGTATCGATAACGTCCTAGAGTTATATTTCAGCATCCTCTGTCTATAAAATTTCAAAAGCATTGCAGGCCTACATTTTAATTAGGAAACGTTGTTGTGTTTTTTTTTGCAGCAAAAATACTTTACTTCCATTTGGAGGTCTACAACGACAGTTTGTTTAAATAAAGGCGAATGAGAGAATCTGATCAATGAATATTTGTTCACCCATACATTTGTTTGATAAAGTCTGCAAAAAATGTATCTGTCCACCATTTTTTTTATTTTTTTTAAGTCTCTCTTTTGGTTCCTGAAGAAATGAATGTAAATTCATAGAGGGTGCAAGTTCAAACATGATTCAAATAATTAATACACCACAGGCTTACATACAAATTTATGAGAAAATATTAACTACATGTACAGGTATGCTTATAAATATTGTACGTGTTGCTCAAAAAAAAAAATAATAATCTGGAAATGAAAAATTGTGTCTGATCAAAACTTTATTCAGAACTTTCTCACACTTGATTCTACTTTCCTTAAAACTGTCACTGATTCCTCATGCTGCTGACTTTTAAAAACCAGCATGATGCCAGTTTGGCTTACCGGTAGTCCCCTTTGACCTACATTACAAAACATGTTACTCGAATAAGGAACCATGACATTGAACATACATTACATGTGTAATTCTTCAACATCTACACTTTAAACTCATGATTTTGTAAAAGTTTTAAATGTACAGTAGGTATAATTCAACATGACATGCAGGGCCATAATCAATTTGGCCCTGTTACTAAACTGCCCGAGGATATCGTATCAATCTGACCTTTTAGGCTTCAAGTTCTACTGTTTGTTTTTTCTTTTCTATTATGAATTGGGCAGACAACTAAAATGATGAAGGTAAAGCCCCTTCAAGGTCTAACAAACAGTACATGTACACTTGACCAGCCTGCGGCTACAATTCAAAAAGTAGAGAAAATCCAACATTATGGCTTACAAAGTCATAGACCAAAAATTTCTGTCTCTTTCGTTCGTTAGCCTCTTACATGTACATGTATTTGGGTAGGGTAGATAAAGTATGAAGATACACCAACAACATGGTGGCCTGTACTTCAACAGAAGAAGGAGAAGAGTCGGCTCCTCTCTTTAATAGGAGCCGACCCTACCCAAATAAAAGAGGCCAACGAACGAAGAGACAGAAATTTCCGGTCTAACAAAGTCAATGCCAATCTAATCAGAGACCTACAAATCTAGTAGTAGGAGCACAATGTAATGTCAGCCACAGGTCTAGAGTGACAGTCTAGTAAGTAGTAAGTACTAGAATAGGCATGTGAGGTCCAAGATATTTCTGTTTCAGTTGTCAAAGCCTAGATCTAGATTCTACATCTATTCCTTTTCTTTTCTTTTCTGGTCAGTTTTTCAATAGATCTACGACTTCTTTTTTCTTTTTTTTCTTTTTTTTTGGGGGGGGGGGTCTAATGAGTAAAGTCAACGAGTTAAATTTAAAAGTTAAAAATTGAGACTACATTTTATAGACGTGACAACTAGATCTACAACTACATTACAAATGTACATGTAGATCTAGATCTAGAGTAAGACCTAGACCTTCTAGTGAGTACTTCTCTATAACTCTACCTATGAAAAATGCTTGAATGACCCAACATTCTGACAGTGACAGTGAATCACAGCAAGACTAGTCATTAGACTAGTCATTAGACTAACTCATTTAGGGTCATACTGTAAACTTTACAGTAGACCTATCAAAGAATTAGCATGATTATTTTAATCAAATTTTATTTGCTCATGCAACTTCAGACTCATATCAACATGACGACCAGAGGAGGAAGAACAAGAAGAAGAAGAAGACCATGACCAGAGGCAGAGTTTCAAATTCAGAATCAAGTCAAATTTAAACCATCATTGAAATTTTCTTAACTCTTTCCTTTATAAAATGTAATAATTTAATACGAAATCCCTGCCCTTTTTGCAGTTGTGAACGCGTAAGACAGAGGTTTTTCTCACCGACTAGATAGATGAGATAACCCTGAAAAACTCTGATATCTGGAATTAAGTTGTCCTTTCTTCCCGGTTCCCAATGGTGTATCAACAGGAGTGATGAAATTACTGTCCGAACCGGGAGAACCATCGTAGTCAAAATCATCAAAATTTATATCCATTGTGGGCTGGCTACCGTCTGGCATATTCTAGTAAAATGTCACAAGGTAAACAAGATGAATCCATGAAGATAATGACGAAAATTGCACATAGAACAGGTTCTTTTTCAAAGTTAGAGCTAACGTTTGCTAACTAACTGCTCCCAAGGTTAATCCGTGTTTCGATGTTGACTTTGGAAAACACTTGACTCACACGTTTTTTTTTCTACACACAAAATCCACATTCGCAAAGTGTGTGTGCGAGATATGAAGAGCAACTCCCATCCATTTTACCGTGCGTTGCTATGCTGCTCCAGGTATACGCTACGCTGAACTCCCGGTTGTTCATACCGGCTACACAAATTACCCCAACATTGGGGTGCTGCAAAATGGTACCCCACTGCCAAACTTTCTATCCATTGTGTGGTTATTTTGGTTAGCCCCAATCGTTAATCTATTCTTCTCCTTTGTCATTAAATCGATTTAGCCATAAAGAAGCTTATACGTTTTATCGGGATATTCTTACTTGGTTTTTCTTGCTTAAATGTTACAATTCTTTTTCAAACATAGTGTTGACTAATCATGCAAAGCAATACTTTGTCTCCATGTAAAACAAAGTTGGCAATTTCGGGGACAATTAAGAACTTTTGTTTTTCGGTCATTAACAAAATTCGGTCTCCATCTAATCAGGGACTTGGTATCCCAAGTCCCTGATCTAATGAAGCCAATGTTCTCCGACAAAGGAAACAAGGAGATTGTTTACTTTATTCTCCTGAAGAGTCTCAATACATTTCCCGCCTTCAAGGATAGCCTAATGATAATTATGAGAAAGACCTTGGGCGTGGGGGGGGGGGGGGGGGGGTGCCGGGTTGGTATATTATGTCCCCGGTCCTATTCCGTATGGTTCACTCGTATGATTTTTTTTTAAATGTATTTTAATGTATTTTATTTCAGGCGTACAGGAGTGAAAAACCACTCTTTTATGAGTCATTACAGGGATCACTTCGTTCTGGAGTGGAAATCAACCTCAAAGTTGCGAAATCCACTCTCAAAATGAATGATTTAAGCCATTACTTTGAAGTCGGGTGTCGCGCAATTTCAATTCCCAAAAACGAAATGATCCCTAATAAATATGACTGGAGAGGATTTTTTTTTGTTAAAGTTTTTATTAATCAATATCAAAGAACAATCACGATGAACAAAATATAAAAAAGTATTAAAGGAATGTGCCAATAGAAAAATGAATATGTAAACAAAGTCAATGAAATGCATATAATTATAAGAACAATGTCTTAATTCGTCTTATGAACAGCAATCACAATCTGTTCTCCACTTTTGAAAGTAACGGACAAGTTTACCCAATTCTTGGCTATTCTATATTCTAAATCTTTTTTGGACTTTATTAGTGCCTTATGTGAGGTCTCTCTGAATCTGCAACTATAAACATAATATTTAAACAGCAAAAAAGACATGCGTTCAGAATGTATCATCTTTAACCCAAACCCCCAACAAGAAGACCTGGGTGAATAATTTCACTTAAAGCATGGACTTATTAGTTGTCAACTAGAAAGTCCATGGTATAAGCATGCATGACCTCAGGCGCGTACGCAGGGGGGGGGGTGTTTGGGGGGTTAAACACCCCCCTTTGGTATTTTTATGTGTATAAACCCCCCTTAAAAACCCAAACCCTCCCCCCCCCCCCTTGGGTTTTTTTTGTGTCCTCTTACCCCCCCCCCCCCCCCCGCTTATTCAGCGGCTGGCTGAGTCGTTGCGATTTTTTGGGACCAAAAAAATGGGTCCTCTTACCCCCCCCCCCCCCCCCCCCCCCCCCCCCCCCCCCCCCCCCCCCGCTTATTCAGCGGCTGGCTGAGTCGATGCGAAATTTTCGGCCCGATTTAAAAATGTTAAACCTTGAAAAAAAAATCCTGCGTACGCGCCTGCATGACCTATTGTCTTGGCAGTGATTTGAACCCCTTGGCTTCTAATAGAAACACGCTGATTGCCTTGGCAAGTTATACCCCCCAAACCTTTCAATGACTAGTATTGCGGATCGAGATGTTTTTTTTGTTTTTTTTTTAATAATTTTTTTAAGTTTCACTTGTGCTGCATTTTTTTCATTGCTTTGTTTGTTTGTTCGTTTGATTTAAAGTGCTTAGAGAATGGCGAAAGCATAAATAAAGTCAGAATATTATTATCATTATCATCATAATGTTAGTCTATATTATTGTATTACCATCTTACTCTCTTAATTTACAGGACTTTGAAGTCTTTAAGATTTATTTAACTGAATACGACTAAAAGCTTTTAAAAACGAAATTGACTTCTGCAAATCAATATTTAAGGACTTAAACTTATCACCAATCAGACTGTTCGTAGATGATGATGATGTAAAACATTGCGCGCGCAGCCAAAAGTAAATGGTATAGGCCTAGGCCTATTTATGAGTTTATAAATTAAATCCATTTGACTTGAATAATCCATTCATATACTTGATATAATTAGTATCATTCCTGTTTAATTTCAAAAGATTTGTGCCAAGTTCAAAACATACTTGAACTTTCAAAAAATTAATCCTTCGGATTTAAAAATAAGTCTTAGAAATTTAAAGAGTATAGGGGGTGTTTTAAAAATATCTAAAAATGGATTTAAAAGCGAACAAACACACAAACAACGACCCCCTCCCTCCCCCCCCCCCCCCAAAAAAAAAAAAACACTCGCCGCATTCATAAATGGTGTAATGCAATGCCATTGTCAGTGGCGTGGCACAACACGCCTGACAGACTAAAATGATATACACGTTACACTCAACACGAATTACTTTCCCGTTGGCAAAATGTTCTCTTCGTTTTTAGATTAATGATGCCTTTTAATAAACATCACGCGGTTTTGACCTTGGTGAGACAAACAATCGTGTATTTCCAATCTAAAATTAAATCAAAAATGTTTCTCCTTCGTCCACAAATACTCGATGGCGTAGCTACGGAGCATCGAGTACGTGCCCCCCCCCGCCCCCGCCCCCCCCCCCCCCCCGACCACCACCACCACCAATACCACCACACACAATCTAATGGCGAAACTAAATTAAGAAAAGAGAAAAAGAGAGAGAACGGGCAGGCAAAACAAAATATATATGGAAAAGGGAGAAAACTTGGAGAAAAAGATAAAAAAAAAAACAAAAAAAAACGATACAACACCCCCTTTTGCACAATATTACGTATACAGGCATATACACCACGGGCGTAAGTTCTAGGGGATAAGGATATATTCCCCCTTCTTTTTTTTCTCTTCCCCCCTTTTGGTTTAGGAAGGGGAGATGGCCTTTGCCATACGAATCCTGAAAAGGGATCTCTATATGGCCTGTATACACAATATAATCCCACCCCACTTTTTCAGGAAAAGTGATCGTTTAAAACCAATCAATAAGATTGTTAACAATTTTGACAAAATGTATATAAGTGAATCATAAAAGTGGTGAAAAAAAAAACGAGAAAGAAAAAAAGAAAAAAGGAAAAAAAGAAAAGTAGTGAAAAATTCTCTTGGAAAGCTATTTAGAATATTCAAAAATCATTGAGTCCGATTCCATTAGAGGCATGCGGGTGTTCGCGAAAAAATATCGTACATTGATCATTACCCCCCCCCCCCCCCCTCCCAACACCTCTGAACGAAATACGCCACTGCTATCACGGGTATGCACCTTGTAACCTCGAGAGCGTGGACGGATATCCTCTTTTAATCGTCGTTCATAGGTAATTGGGGGAACGGATTAGCAAACAAGCACTAAGTGTCAATTATAGTGGATTCGCGAAATGGGCTCTAAAAGTCTAAGTGATGTACACTATACGGTGAGTAATTATCGTGATTTAACACTGGCCTTTATTAATCATGATACACCATTTTAGAGGAGTAAAGAGGTGTCAGTTTGCGTCATGGAATAGGGCATGAGGTAATCGGTACCATGGTAAAATGAATATTCAGTACTTTTTTAAGAAGAGAGATGCGTTAGATATTGATTCAGACATTAAATTTCATCTTTACCTTCTCATACTTTTTTTTTCTCTATTTCTTCTGCTATTGTTTATTTTGCGATGGTTCAGTAGTAGAGCAGTGGTCTTGTAATCGGGAGGTGCCGGGTTCAAAACCAAGTCGATGCGCCAATTGGTAAGGCATTGCTCTTCATTACTAAGTACCTCGGAGAGGACTTAAAACCGCCTGACCCGTGATTGCCTACTTATAAGCATACACATACATTCTTAGTAGTCAGGTAAAACAATCAAACAAACTTCTTTTTCTTAAAGGTAAAGACCAGTATTGGAAATTTCAAAAAATGAAATGGAAGCTCTCATTACCAATCATGTGAAAGAATATGTTTTGGTGCGAATGCCTTCACTTGTTTTCAAAACATGCTTTCAGTAAAACTTTATACATTTTTACACCCACCATGCACTATACGGTGTCCGGTAAACCAATAAACTTATCATTAATATGTCCTATTACTATGAAATAGGTTTTTAGTAATGTTTAACATCATTTCAATGCCATTATGATTGTGACCTATTATAAAATAGGTATATGTTTATGAAAGTCTGTTGAACATCATTTCAATGCAATAATACGAGGCCCATTATGAAATTGGTTTTAATAAATGTTTGTTTGACACCATTTTTATGCCTCGATATACAGTGTCTATAGGAAGAGGATTAAGTATGACGTGAATCCGGTGGTTGATAGCGTTTAAACATTGTTCCAGAAACGTCAGCTCAATTATCAACATGCATTAATAATGATATTTTTATTGTAATTAACTGCTCCGGTTACTTTGGTTTTAGCGCGGAAACGGTTTAATGAAACTGTAAGATAATATAATGTCTTTTTGACGTGAAAGACTACATGACTGAAGACGTGACCGAGGAATATCTAAATACCTCTGACCACTATTTTTTCTCGAATTCAAATAATTTGAATCTAATAAAAAAAATTCTTCGGCTGATATCATTGACTATGAGGGGATGTGTTGATTTGTTTTACTTAATTGTTTTCTTTTCTTTTCTTAACTCTATTTTTCGTTTTCATTTCTTTCATATTTGACTTGAATTGATGTTCATTTATTCCATATACATCAACATAATTACATTTACAATCTTATAACTTTAGCTGTATATGGTAATGACAGAATACAGAATAGGGATGTCTTAAGCATAAAAACTTGAAGTGACATCCTCTCGAAAATGAAAATATTCTTTTGGGGAGCTAAATATAGAGAAACACCTCAACCAAGGTACACACACACAAAATAAAATGGAAGAAGATTTAATTCATTTAAACCTATAGCGACAACCTTGGACCAGATTTCCAATTCCAAAACAAAATCACCACTCACCCCTATTGAT